CCCCCTTTCCAAAATCCTGGATCCGCCCCTGCAGGCATTCCATACACCATATATAATTGCCCTTACGCATACAGTATCTGAGAAACCAACATAAATATAAAACTTTAACTTTGATCACTGATCCATGAAACGAGGAGGAGGTCAGATGTGCCCTGTCTGACGGACATGTTGACCTTACAAGATCTTACACGGAACACATATATCAAATATAATTATCCTATTACTCATAATAATTGAGAAATTCACATAAAAAACTAAAAAAAATAAATAGGGAATGTGTCCATGGGACACAGATGATGCCCCCGCTTGCTATATATCCTTGTAAAGGGACAGAACTCAAGAATGGTAAAAGTGAATCTGGGTCCGTTTGCCCAAGAACCTGTTCGCCCCGATTTCTATTTTTGCTATTGTTGTCTAATGTTTATTATTTGAAGAGAGTATGTTAAAGTTTGTTGAAAAATTCGTCGATTATTATTCGTATTGCAGCAACCAAATAAATATTTTCCTTTGATTTGCATAGCAGAATACTGAAATACAATGTATTATCTTTATTGATATTTGTTAACACATTTATAATTCTAGTCAGTCGATTTATGTAGTATAATAATAACTAAACTTATAAATCCTTTTCATGTTTTACAATTCGTACACCATTGTTTTTGCTCATTCCAAGCTGACTAGTTAATCAAAACAAGGGGTAGTTTTTATTATTAATCCATCAAAAATAATTATTACAGCAATCAGTGAGAATTGTTATTATGAATAATCTGAGACTACTATAACACATATGTGTTATAGTAGTCTCAGGAATAATTAATGCTCCAAAACAAGCCATCAACTTTTAAATATTTACATGTGTTTTTGTGAATTTCGAGAATGTATGCATATTAACATATGAATAAGGTTATCAAAATTCAATACCCTTAATATTAACAGAGACATTTTCAAAGTCTCTGATATTAATATTTAAATAAAAGTAGGGAGAACAAACCCAGGGCGAATATGTAATTAGGGCGAACGGACCCGATACCGGTAAAAGTGACGCTACCAAAAGTTCTACTAGATCTGAGTTTTGTGGTAATAAGCATTGTGTATAAGTTTCATAACATTTGGTTGAGGCTTACTTAAGTCAGAGAAACGGAAACCCAAAATTCTGCATTTTTTCAGTTTGTAAAGAAACACAACTCTAGAACAGTAAAAGTGACGCCATCAAAATTCAAACTTGATATGTGTTTTGTGGTAATAATCATGGTGTATAAGATTCATAAAATTTGGTTGAGGCAAACATAAGTTAATAAACTTTCCTTTACCAACAAAGGTCTCGACGGCGTCAACTTAGGCAATATCCTTCATCATAAATTAGTTCAGTCGAAAATACCTCCTTATTTTACAGATCAGTCTGTACCAATAATTTCTTATACCTATACCAAACCTATTGCAACTAAAATTTTCAATAACAAACACGTTTTGCAGGATCTCAACATTGACGACTTCAAGTCTAAACCTCCTGATTGCACCTGTGCTAGTTGCCAATTCACATATATTTCCGTCGAAAGTTGTTATCCAAAGGTCCGAAATATCGTGAGCCTAAATCCATCAATTGGAAATACAACTTCAAAATACTGATGGATTCAGTCGAGGATTATGCCAGGCAATGGGCTTAACGCGAGAAAGAAGACGTAGATACTCTTCCGAATGGATTAAGGCTGTGAGGTCGTTGATAAAAATCCGAATTAAGAAACTAAATGAGTCTATCAATACCCACGCTACCTCAATTTTTAAAGACCCAAATGTTGCAAAACACTTGTCCTAAGAACTAGATTTTCCAACACTGTATTGGATACCTAAACTACATAAGTGTCCTTACAAACAACGGTATATTGCTGGGATTTCCAAGTGCTCCATGAAACCTCTCTCTAAAATATTAACATCTATTTTATCAGCAATCAAAGCTGGGCTCCAAAGTTATTGTGAAACTGCCTATTCTAGAGGTGGCGTGAATCAGATGTGGATACTAAAAAATTCCAAATATCTTTTAGAGTACATACAATCTAAGACTCATCTTTCAATAGTATTAAAACATTTGACTTTTCTACACTTTACACAAGTATTCCCCATTCCAAACTAAAAGACAAATTGAAAGAGTTGGTATTACTTTGTTTCATTAAGAAGAATGGCGAACGTAGATACAAGTATCTTGTCTTGGGGAGGGATAAATCCTACTTTGTAAAGAATCACTCTGATTCAAACAAAAAAAAATTCTCTGAAACTGACATTAGATGCTTGATTTCTTGATTGACAACATATTTGTTACGTTTGGAGGACGTGTTTTTCAACAGACTGTCGGAATTCCAATGGGAACCAATTGTGCCCCTCTTCTGGCCGACTTGTTTCTTTATTATTTTGAGGCTGACTTCATACAGGAACTTCTTAGGAAGAAAGATAAGAAGTTAGCAATATCCTTTAACTTTACGTTCCGCTATATAGATGATGTTCTCTCACTAAATAATACAAAATTTCGGTGACTATGTTGAACGAATCTATCCCATCGAACTAGAGATAAAGGATACTACAGATACAGTTAAGTCTGCCCCATATCTCGACTTACATCTAGAAATTGACAATGAAGGGTCGGTTGAAAACAAAACTTTACGACAAAAGAGATGATTTCAGCTTCCCAATTGTAAACTTTCAATTTCTATCTAGCAACATTCCAGCAGCGCCTGCATACGGAGTATATATCCCCCAATTGATACGATATTCCTGGGCTTGTATTTCCTATCATGATTTCCTTGATAGAGGATTGCTGCTCATAAGGAAGCTATTAAACCAAGAGTTCCAAATGGTAAAGTTGAAATCATCCCTTCGTAAATTTTACGGACGCCATCACGAGTTGGTTGACCGTTATGGAATAACCGTTTCACAGATATCGGATATGTTCCTTATGTCGTAACTACAATACCCTTCCCTTTTCACGAATGTGACCTACCCAATAAGACTATTTACAGGATTTGTAATAACATAAGCAACACGACGGGTACCACATGTGGAGCAGGATCTGCTTACCCTTCCGGAGCACCTGAGATCACCCCCCGTTTTTGGTGGGGTTCGTGTTGCTTAGTCTTTAGTTTTCTATGTTGTGTCATCTGTACTATTATTTGTCTGTTTGTCTTTTTATTTTTGGCCATGGCGTTGTCAGTTTGTTTTCGATCTATGAGTTTGACTGTCCCTCTGGTATCTTTCGTCCCTCTTTTAGAGAACAGAAACGAAAAATTCGGCAATTTTTCCATTTGAAAAGCAGAATAACTCTAGAATGGTAAAAGTGACGCCATCAAAATTAAAGCTTGATCTGAGTTTTGTGGTAATAAGCATTGTGTATAAGTTTCATAACATTTGGTTCAGGTTAACTAAAGTTAGAGAACGGAAACCCTATTTGGGATGTACAGACGGACAAGGGTAAAACTTAATGCCCCCTCCGCTAAAAATTGATGGTTAGAACATGAACTTTTAATGTACATTTTTTTGCTTTTCTCACCTTTGACCTTTTTTCATACAAAAACAGGAACACTTATACACATCCTAAAATGGATCAAGTCACTGAACCATAAAAATAAACCAACAGCAACTTCAAAGGATTATACATTTTTGTTCATGCAATAAGTTTAAATCTTTTAGAATTAATGGGACAGATAAATTTTGCTGTTGATTTCTCATTTTCAGAGAATGAATTCTTAGTTTTCATGTGTTTTAAATCAATGTACGCAGACAATCATTACAAGCAGGGCATAGCTGTTTAAAGATATAAATAATAAAGTAGAAAATAATCCTTTAGTAGTCGTAACAACATGCAATGAGCCATTCCATTTAATATCTAAAAAGGGGGTGGATGGTTACCTTGTCAAAGACCCTCCCCTTCCTAAGAACACACTAGTTACAAAACAGTATAATCAACAGCTTTATTAAAAGTTCACTAAGCCAAAGAAAAACATTTCATGGCCAATTCATATACTAATTTGCATCATACATAATATGATCATAAAAAGCTGTGTAAGCAATATTTTTGATAAATTCTTGCAAGTGGAAGCATACTTAAACAATAACTCAATGTTATAAAACTTGACATAATTATGATATCCATGTTCGTTAAAAAGTTTTTCAGTAACGAAAATTTGTCTCTTCCATCAATTCAAAAATTCAAACCAACTAAAGAATGTCCATTCCATAAGATTAGAAAATGATAGCACTGTTGGATAGATTGAATTCAAAGCAATGTGTGGTGTATCAAATAAGTGAACCCTTTGCTTTCAGTGTGTTTTTTGCTGTGCATGTACTGATTTTGTGTCATGGATGGATACCCCATATCCTTTGTTTTTCTATTTATACAATCATATACTGTAAATTAAGAAATTATTGCGAGGTTTTTATTAATGCGAATAATGTGACTAGGTCAGTATCGCAAAAATAAGAACTCGCATTCTTGTATAGTATACATTTTACTGTATGCAGGTTTCCCTGAAATTGCAATAATTAATATCGCATTTTTGTCCATTCTTCAAAAATCGCAATAATAAATGCACGCAATAATTTCTGAATTAACGGTAGTTAATTTACAGCTTTTTAAGAAACACAAAAAGCACATTCAATGGCTGATGGGTTCATCAACATTTTTTTTAGGGGATAATAAGTAAATCATTTACTGCAAGATTTTTTAAACAGCTTTACTTTAGATAACAGACACCAAGTGATAAAATGGCAGGTAAAAACCTGGCAAAATTCATTTGAATTACTTCATGTGTGAAGTTGTATATTTACAGTTATGTGAAGCTTGAATATTTTTTTCAGTTACTGTAACTAGACAAGAGGAAAGGAAGAGATATGTTAAAGTCTTCTGGTTTTCTTAACTTTAAGTCTTTTATACCATATTTGCTGAATGTTAAATCAGAAAAGCTTGTTCTATCCAATACTGCAAGTGCTGTTTTAACAAGAATAACAACAAAACATCATTTTCAGCATGTATTTAAATTGATACATATATAATTATTTACAAATAAAATTCAAGTCCTTTGCTTTGATCAATCTTCATTTCCCAATCACAAGGTTACAATCCCAAGAATACCATCTTTTTCTCTTTTTCCTGTAAATTCTTAAAAGTACAAGTGTAGTAATAACAAAAGCAATTTTAAATTCAGATCTGTGCACAAAAAATGTGTACAACCATATGACTGAAAATATCACTGTTGATATCATGTACTTTGACTTGCAGTTCTTACATTTGACCTGCAACTTACCTCCAGGAAATACCATTTTTATCATATATATAATTCAAACAAACAGTTGAAATTTGTATTCTATAAATAAAAACAATCTCCTATGCATGAAATTCCCTAAAACAGCTTTAATTTAGAAAATACACATACACATAAGATGGAAAGATCATACCTCTGATCTTCATGAAGAGGCTTCGTTTCTTCAATGCCTAAAATAATAGGTTAAATTATGTCTTAAATCTACATCTAGCATCACCTTGACTTAAAACATGCAGATAAATGGTTAGGAATTGAAATTGTGTAATGTATTAATTTCCCTGCCATTTTTACTCTCCAAAGTATTTCATACTACTTTCATAAAAATTCTACAAAACAGATTAATGGTGTACTGAAAAATCTAATAGATCATGAAAATGGTTTCAACCATCTTTTCGAATATTGAAGAAAGCAAAGTTTTTCTTTAATCTTTTCTTACAATACTATAGAAATAAAATAAATTTTAAATTTTAGAGAATTAAAACTTTTTGCCTTCCATAAATTCTGGTTATTTGCTCAAATCTTACCAAACAGACTTCGACTAAATACGGACTACATCTTCTTAACCGACAATCTTCTTGCTCCTACCCCATTTTCCCTTCATATTATTTTCCCAAATAATTTTTTCTCTTCACATTCTTCTCAATCTTCATTGCCCCATTTATCACTCTTCAAATCTTCTAAACAGCCAATACTTAATCTTAAAAGCCAAAAATCTTCAAAACTTTACTCCTAATTCCCCTCTTCATTTTTTACTTTCTTCTTAATATTATAATCGGTATTATTTTTCAATCTTCAACTCTCCCCTCTTCATTTTCTTTCTTCATATCAATCTTCAAATTTTCTTATAAACCTTTCCACCACTTCCTTCTTCTCAACCTTGTACAATACAAATAAAATCAATCAGTTATTTACAAACTTATGACTACTTTTACAAATGTTTTGTTCGTCTTCATAAAACAAACTTTACACCAAAGTTCTGACCACAAAATAACAAGTGTACATAAAAATAACTAAGCATATTAGAAACCTTAATATACTAGAACCATGTTTGGTTGTTTAATGACAAGTATCATGTGAAAAATACTGAAGCTGCAATTAGAAAAAAGATGTGTTGGGAACAAATTACAATGATCTAATGTTACCAATTATATGTAATCCTCACAACTTATCACTCTCTGATTGATAAATACATTGATATCAAAGGACAGAAATAACTCATTGACATGAACAAATTAAACTGAATGATAATGTATGTAACAAAACTTATTTTCTGTCTTCTATCATAATTCTAATAAGTGACATATCTAACCAAAATGTCAATTATATTAGATGATAGGGCTTTTTCTACCTTTTTTTGAAAAGGTATTAGAAGATATATATCCTTGACAGGGATTTCAAAATGTCTTCCATAGGTGGTATGTATAATGTAATTAACCGTATCTTATTTCTTAGTTAGATGAATTAGTTTTTATAATAGGAGACAGAAATATGTGTGCAGTAAATGACAAATGATCTGGCATGAAAACAATACATTTTTTTCACATTTGAAATGAAACAGTAACTTGTCAATAAAATTCTTTTTTACAACATGTCAATATCCGACATGTTATACTGGAACAGCACTCTATAATTTGTTGATCTCTGCTTTGCTGATTTTAATAACGACGACCTGGTGAAAAAAGAACACAACACAACATAGATAAAATGATGATCTTATACAAGTAGTTAAAGCTCTAAACAATAAGTCTAAAAGAATTATGAACTTATGATATGAGATTTTTTTTCTAATTTAAAGATGAACTTTCTAACTATGATTATCGTAACAAGGGTAAAGTATGCACCTTTCAGGGGCTTTCTTCTAACACATACATACAAGACTGTTTTCAAATGGTGGCCGGACTCATTACTTTTATTCTGTGTTTAATTGATGAAATATGAGAACTAATTTCAATTACCTATGTAATAGAATTCAGTTCTTTTTATGGTGGAGTGGTAGAGGTCTTAGCTTTCTTAAGATAAAATATATAGTGACAATCATTGCTTTATTTTGTCTGTAGTAGCTACCATATAAATAAACATAATTCACCCATATTGTGCATTTTGAATATGTTGCAAAAATAAAATGGGATATTTAGTAGACATATAATTTCTGACCAATTGAATAGATAAAAACAAATTACAATTTGGTCAGAATTTTGAAAAAACTGCAATAGGTGGAGAGCAAAACTTACAGTCAAGTCATAGTAACATGGGATTGCAATTATAAATTTTAGCTTGACCTTATCAGTCCCTTAGAAAGATTTAAACAAAAAGAACGATTCTATTTATGTTACATTGCAGATATGATAATATAAGTTATAAATGCGCAATATCACCGGCCAGGCAGACACAACTGTAATAATTATAGACCACCTCAGAAATCAGCTAGAAAATAATAAAAGATATTTTCAGAAAACCCACTGTTTACTTTTTCTATTTGTCTTTTATCCATCTTTTTAATAAACTTATATTTTTGTCTTTATATATGAACTGTATTTTGTATAATAAAGCAATTCTGAGAAATAATATGACACAACAGTCTACATATCTAACGGTTTCATAAGACTACTTACGAGGAGAATATGATCTTGACCTTGATCTAGAATAATGACGACTACTTCGACTTTGATAAGGTGAAGGTGATCTATAACGTCCTCCTCCTCCTCCTCCACCACCACCACCGCCACTACTATGTCCCCTGAAAAAGAAAAGTCAAACATTTATCAGATCTCTGCATACCAAACTATTACCCGTCTAGTTATTGTTTTAACTATGGTACTTCTGGAAAATGCCAATGAATCTCAAACCTTAAATTTGAGCTAGAAATAAGAGACATATTGAACATAAACCTTTTGATATAGAAAGAGGGCCATTGTATACATTTTTTCCAATGACAATGGTTTTAAGTTATTGCTAAAAAAAAGTTCTTATTGTTAATAAAGGTATAGAACCACTAATTCGGCCCAGTCAGAAAGAACGTAAAAGAAAGTAGTACATATTTTAAACAAAATAGTTCCTACGCATAGCTGTTACTTTGTCAATAAGTAAAACATTTGGGTAATTTTAGTATCAAATGAAAGAAGGACTTGGGATCCCTGTAGAACCAGGGGTTCAAATTTACTTTAAGCAATGGAAGGTCCAGGACCTTTGACCAAAGATACTTAAAGGTCCTCCTTTATTCTTAGAAGGTCCAATTTTTATTGAAAATTCAATTTATAAAAACAGAAAATGCTTACCATAACAAAACAACCATCATATCTTAACACATTAACCTCATTTTTTTCTGATATTCTTAAATAAATTCAGTCTTTTCTTAAATAAATTCAGACAGAAAAAGACTTCCCCTTTTTCCAACACTATATGCTGTGTTAAAAAACACTTTGAGCCTTTATAATTGGTTTGGTTTCAATTGCTGTTTAAGAACACTGGCCACACTTTGTGTCAGATAACTGCTCAACTTCGTTTTCAAACTTGAGGTCAGTTTCTTTTAACCACTTTTTTTGCAAAATACATAGATGCCGGGTGGTTGTTTTTCATCATGATTTTTATGGAGTCAAGTATTAATTTTTTTAGGGCACTTTCCCTTTCACTGTTTGTAGGAAAAAAATACATTCTTGTTTTTCCGTCATATTATTGGTCTTTAGTCAGATTCTGTCTTTCGTTCTGCATTAAGCCATTTCATCAATCACCCCCGTTGTATGCCCTGTTTCATCAATCACCTCCGTTGTATCAGGTTTTCTTTTGGAAGGGGTCACTCCAAAACCCTTTACTGGTTATGTTTTAATATTATATTATCGAGTTTCCTGGTATCTTGTACACATCAATTCAATTATGAAGAATTTAAGCAAATACATAAGTTTCCTTTCAGTAAATTTGCATATTTCAAGATTATTTTATTCTTGATTTTTATGTTTTTGTTCCAAATGCTTTTGTAACTTTTTAACCTGCAAAAATACGAAAGTCTGTCAGACGTAACTAACTACCGGTGAGAAGGTACGAACCTGTAAATGGAAGGCGTCGTACCTCGAACCACCGCTAATTTGAACCCCTGAGAACCCTTCTGTATATGAAATTAAAATAGGAGGGCATATTTGCCCTGTTGCTCTGATCAGAAGTACCTGTTTTTGTACCACCCAACTTCCGGGAACCAGTGCACTTAAATATGCAATTCAAGGTATGTTGATTTTTTTTCAGCACAAGTCAGGATAAGGTATAGTTTTGACATGAAATGACTATAACTTTATTTAAACTTAAGACAAAATAGCTACGAATGCTTGAAGTTGCAGAATTTAACATAGAAAGTAAGGGGGCTATGAATTAGTGGTGTTAATCCATAACACACAAAAATCTTGTTAGTTGAATTTTCAATATGGTTCACATATTTATAAATAAAAAGAAACTTTTACCAATTTCAATAATATTACCACCAGAAAAACTGAGCAAAATTAACAAATTTCTCTGCTCCCCATAAAAAGTTGTATATATATGTCAATGTTTTGCCATGGTTGCACAATGGCATAAAGTAAGATTCTGTGAAATTTTCAATAAAACCAGTTTGTTTCTTTTTGATCTTCAGATATAGCAGAACTGAAATAGTGAAGAACTCCAGGTGACTTATTTGATAATACAAACTCATATTATAGACTATAGTGTTATTAACTGGCTGTTTCAATATTGGCCCTGGTATATATTTGAGGTCAGCTGTATATACGAAATTACAATCTTGCAGACAAGAAAATTTAGTTTTTACTGAATAAAAGGGAACTATTTCTTTATAAATTGTTGTCTTTATTCATTGTCTTCCTTTGTTAAGTGAATTAGATGCCCTGTAAATTCAAATAGTTTGAATTTATTTATTAAATATACAAGAGCAGTACGTTGGGAGAATTTTGATAAACTCTAAATCCTCACAGAATCAGAAATATAAGTTAAACTGAATGTACCTCCTTCTGAATAATTTATTGCAATTGACATATAAATCCCTTTTGACAAAAGAAATCTGACTTTTGTCCGATATAATTTTGAAACATTTGCATGACCACATGTCATGGATGCCATTTTGTTTTGTCTACAAAATGTGAAGAAGCCTCGAGAACCATGACCTAAACATAAATAGTCTTTAGAAAACTTTAACTTGATGCAATTAAATTTCATCAATCATGATTATACATCTTCATAAATTTAAGTTTGATTATTTAAAGAAATAAAATATATAACAAATACGATTTTAGTTTAGAGACTGCAGTGTACACAGACCATGTTTGATCTATTTATAGCCCAATTAGCTTACCTGTGATAAATGTAAATAACGGATATTAATTCCTTTACAAAACAAATAAAGACACAAACTATGGATGGTAGATAGTTATTCACATAAATTTTTCAGGACATTTTATTCATTTTAATAAATATAGGATTTAATAAAATGCTCCGCTGGGGCGCAGCTTGATACGACCGCAGAGGTCGAACCCTGAACAGTTGGGGCAAGTATGGACACAACATTCAAGCTTGATACAGCACTGAATTTGGATTGTAATTAAATATTTGACACAGCATAGGTTTCTCACACAGAATGAAAGTAGTCTAAGAACTTAAATTTTTTTAATTTACCTATTCAAACCATATCATTATTATTTGCTTTTATATATAAATCAGAAATAACCAATTTAAAATGGAAAATTTTAAAGAAAAAAAAGGAAAAAAAAATCCCCCCCAAAATTTTTTGAAACCCCCTTATGATTCATCACCCCCAAACTCAATCCCAGCCTTCCCTTTGTGGTATGGTACCTTGCAGTACAATTTCAGAGAGATCCATACACTAGAACACAAATTATTGTCTGGAAACTAGAAAAATGCTTGGGTTTTTCGCACCTTTTTGGCCCCAAATTCCTAAAAGTTTAGGGCAATTACCCCCAAACTCAAACCAAGCTTTCCCTTTGTGATATGGAACCTTGCAGTACAATTTCATAAAGATCCATACACTTACACACAAGTTATTGTCATGAAACTAGAAAAATGCTTGTTTTTTTGCCCCTTTATGGCCCCTAATTCCTAACATTTTGAGACAATTACCCCCAAAAACAATCCCAGCCTTCCCTTTGTGGTATGGTACCTTGCAGTACAATTTCAGAGAGATCCATACACTTGAACACAAGTTATTGTCTAGAAACTAAAAAATGCTTATTTTTTACCCCTTTTTAGGCCCCTTATTACTAAACGTTTTGGGCAATTACCACAAAACTCATTTCCAGCTTTCCCTTTGCGAAATGGAACCTTGTAGTAAAATTTCAGAAAGATCCATACACTTACACACAAGTTATTGTCATGAAACTAGAAAAATGCTTGTTTTTTGCCCCCTTTTGGCCCTTTATTCCTAAAATTTCGAGGAAATTAACCCCAAAATCAATCCCATCATCGACCCTTTGTGATATGGAATCTTGTAGTACAATGTCAAAGAGATCCATACAATAACACACAAGTTATGTCTGGAAGTTACAAAAATGCTTATTTTCGGCCCCTTTTTGGCCCCTAATTATTTAACTGTTGGTACCATAACCCCCAAAATCAATCCCCACCTTCCTATTGTGGTATTGAACCTTATGGTAAAATTTCATAGAGATCCATTCACTTAAACTAAAGTTAGAGTGCGAAAACCATTGTGTATTCGGACGACGACGCCGGACGACGACGACGACGACGACGCCAACGTCATACCAATATACGACCACAAAATTTTTTTGCGGTCGTATAAAAACTGAAACAAATATAAGCATTACATAACCAGCTGATAATTTTTTACACAAACATCGTCCTGATGTAACTGATAAAAATCACTCCAGCCCTTTCTTATATAAAGCAGTAGTCAGGGCTGGTAACATCTCAGGATTAGGTCTACTCATTATTGCAGAATATTCAATGAATATACATTTATCATCTTAATTGAATATATCGGATAATGGGATATTTTTTGCTGACATTTTGGGTATCCGATTTGCTAGAGTCTACTGTATAAGCATGTCCAAAAACTTTCGAAACACTCTTGATAAAACATGACTCTAAATAAAATTTACTTGCTAATAGTGAAGCAGGGAGTGATTGATAGTAAACAGAGTGAGAATAGGACTTAAAGACATGTTCAGAGATACCAAGAATATGAATTCAATGGTTGTTCAAATAAAAACATGAACTTAACATTAGTTTATTCAGCAAATATAAAACAACAAAACTTTATTCTACCATAATATTTTAAATAGGTCTAAACAACTTTTCCAAGTCTAGTTGAAAAAAAATTGGAACTACAAATCTGACAAAAGCTAAATTAATGTCGGCCCTAATGACTGACATGTGAAGTTTATTTCTCAAATATTCTGTATGCAACATAATATTTCAAAAGCTTGGTGAGGCATAAAACAGTCACAAGTGAGGAAGTGGTGTATCCTGTATTGGCCAACAAAGCTGTATTAAAATCAGAAGGGAAATGTCATCAGTTTTACACATGACAATGTTACACCTTAAACGTCTGATTTAATAATATTATTTTATAAATAATTGTAACAATGAAAGTTTACCTGTCTCTTGGAGGCCTGTAATAGAAGAGAAAGAAATATATCACAATAATAGAATAAATAAAGTATTTATCAAATAAGTAAACACATAAAAAATACACCATTAGGTCGACTGTATTTAAAATTTGGACTATAAATTAAAAAAAATGTAAGCTAGAAATGCAAAAATATATCTGATGCCCAATCATTTTTTAAACTTTTATATAGAAATTGATATTCAAAGTAAATAAAAAAACAAGGTTTCACTTGAGGCAAGTTGCTGCAACAAATAATTATGTCCTTTCAACATCAAATCACATGAGAAAATATTGTTTGGAGTCATAAACAGCAGTGGATGCTTTTGTATGTAAACATGCTCCTCTTCAAGGTGATACAGTGTTTTGCTGAGGATATCTTTAACTTGGTGTTAGTTGTGTAATTTTCACATTTCACCTTTATAGAATGGCCATATTTAGGAACTGGTTCTTTTATAACATCTAATTTTTTATATGTGCTTTTACGTAATATATATCTTAATTCTGTAAGATTTTTTTGGTAACAATGTGTTGTCTTATGACATTTAGAAATTTGTACTATGGCCTTGATGTTGTTTTATGTCTAATAATTGCAGAATTAGTTTCTTATTTGCTTGATGTATCATATCTTATAAGTGCAGGGTTTTTTATTTTGAGTCTTTTCTTATAATTTCAGTTTTTTCTTAGATGCTTGATGATGTCTCATAACTTATAACTACATGCTTTTCTTTCTTGATGCCTTGATGTCATCATATCTTATATTTGCATGGGGTAAAGCCTTCATGCTGTCTTAAATCTTGTAATTACATGTTTCTCCTATATCTTTAAATCCAGGGTTTTTTCTTGGTGTCTTGATGTTGTTTTATTATAATTTCATTTGTTTTCCTGAAGTGTTACTTGATGTTGTCTTATCTTGTAATTTGGTCTTGGTCACATGAACTCTTCTATCATAAAGCTAAAGGATTGGAAGGGCCCTTAGGGCATTGCTGTCTCATATCTGAACAATGCAGGGCTTTTTTTCTTATTACTATGAAAGATGTTTTCTTGCATCTTTTTATTGTACGTGTCTCATGAATGTCCAATTCATATTCCATTCTTTTCATTGGTCTATAGGAAATCAGTATTGTACACGTGTGTATTCTTCATTATTTTTTATTAAATGAAATTTTTCAATACATATTCTTAAACAATGTCCCATAATCAAACTGTAAGTGCAAATACTTACGTTGTAGGCTTGCCCAAGTATATACCAGGTGTAGGAGTATGTGCTCTTTCTGTAATGGAATAATCTACTCTAATCCTTCTGCCATCTATTTCTTGTCCAGCACATCTGTCTTTTGCCTAAAAAATATATTAATTTATCTATAAATCTCAAGCAATAGGTAATTTCATGAATTTTCATATATCATGGAATCTGTGGATAAACTCAATTTCAATGGTAAACTGAATTGAACAATTAAGTTTAAAAAGATTAACATTTTAAAGCTTTACTTTATCAGAGGCTTCATGTATTTTTTGTCCTTTAGAGAATTAAGAGTTAATGGCATTCTTTGATATTCTACGTTAAATTTCTTTTTAACTTTTCTTGACATGGTGCAATTGTGTGTGTGGCATACTGTAAATTGTCAACAAGCAGTTTAATCGAAAGTGCACACGCTGAAATGTCTCGCCTGCTTTACTTATTATGATTGAAAGTCTGTAATATCAATGTTATACAACAAGCATCATATAAACTTAACATTATCAATGATCCATGTAAATGAGGTCAAGGTCTGACAAACCCTGCCAGATAGACACCTTCATCTTACAATCATTCCATACACAAAATACAGTGGCCCTATTGCTAACAGTATTTGATAAATAGACCAAACTGAAAAACTTAAATTTGTCCAATGAACCATGAAAAAGTCAAGGTCAGATGAGACCGGCAGGGCAGACATGTACGTCTTACAATCATTCTATACACCAAATATAGTTGACCAATAGCTTATAGTATCGGAGATACGAAATTGATCACAAAAACTTTCAGGAGAACCCTGTGTGACTGACATGGACACTTTGCATGGATTCCATATACCAAATATAGTTATCCTATTACTAATAATAAGGGTTGTTCAACCATGAAAATGATGCCAAGGACAACAGACATGACAGTTTGAAACTTCATAGATTGCATCTGCATACAAGGTATGAAGCAACTAGGTCTTCTACTTTCTGTAATATAAAGCTTTATACAAATAGTTTATGCCGTGGCTGCCACCTTCGGATAATACTCTTTTGTCTCAGTCTCTGACTACTGTAAATTCAGAAATTATTGTGTGCATTTATTATTGCGATTTCAGAAAAATCTGCATACATATATATGCATCAGATATCATAATGCGAGTTCTTATTATTGCGATAATCACCCAATCGCATTATTTGCAATAATAATAATAAAAACCTCGCAATAATTTCTGAATTTACAGTATCCTCTAAGGCGACACAAAATAATAAGAGGCTCTCAGGAGCCTGAGTTGCTCACCTGTAATTTTTTGCTTAAATCTTTCATCAATTATCATTTTTGCTTTTCAATATATATTAATGAGTGGCTTAAAAATGCCATTTAAATGTTCTTTGTATCTGTCATATTTCCTTCAAAAACAAAATAAAATGCTCCGCAGGGCGCAGCTTGATACGACCGCAGAGGTCGAACCCTGAATAGTTGGGGCAAGTATGGACACAACATTCAAGCTTGATACAGCTTTGCATTTGGATTGTGATTAAATATTTGACACAGCATAGGTTTCTGACACAGAATGAATGTGGTCTAAGAACTTAAAAATTTTAAATTGGACATTCACCTATTATGGTTCAATATCCAAAATCTAAATACATGGTTAGATTCAGCATATCAAAGAACCCCAAGAATTCAATTTTTGATAAAATCAAACAAAGTTTATTTTGGACCCTTTTGACCTCAATGTGGACAAAGTTGATAACGGGGCCCAAAAATCAAAAATCTAAATACATGGTTAGATTCAGCATATCAAAGAACCACATATATTTAATTTTTGTTGAAATCAAACAAAGTTTAATTTTGGATCCCGATTTGGACCAACTTGAAAACTGGGCCCATAATCAAAAATCTAAATACATGTTTAGATTCAGCATATCAAAGAACCCTAAGAATTCAATTTCTGTTAAAATCAAACTAAGTTTAATTTTGGACCCTTTGGACCTTAATGTAGACCAATTTGAAAACGAACCAAAAATTAAGAATCTAAATACACGGTTAGATTCGGCATATCAAAGAACCCCAATAATTCAATATTTGATGAAATCAAACAAAGTCTAATTTTGGACCCTTTGGACCTCAATGTGGACCAATTTAAAAACGGGACCCAAAATCCAAAAACTAAATACACGGTTAGATTCAGCATATTAAAGAACCCCATGAAATCAAGAATAAAACCCCATTGAAATTGGTCAAGAAATAAGCAATTTATAGGAAGTATCTTCTTTTGCACAATCCTGTGCTATTAAATATTTCTTGCTATTGCACAATACTGTACAATTGACAATTTCTTGCTATTGCGCAATACTGTGCAATTGAAGATTTCTTGCTATTGTGCAATACTGTGCAATTGAAAATTTCTTGCTATTGCACAATACTTATTATATAATAATTTACACATCCTGTTTGGTGTGTATCTCCTACCATATCATTATTATTTGCTTTTAAATATAAATCAGAAATAACCAACTTAAAATGGAAAATTTTAAAAGAAAAAAAAAGGAAAAAAAGAAAAAAAAGGAAAAAAAAACCCCCCCCCCCCCCCCCAAATTTTTTGAACCCCCTTATGATTCATCACCCCCAAACTCAATCCCAGCCTTCCCTTTGTGGTATGGTACCTTGCAGTACAATTTCAGAGAGATCCATACACTTGAACACAAGTTATTGTCTGGAAACTAGAAAAATGTGTTTTTTGGCCCCAAATTCCTAAACAATTAGGGCAATTACCCCCAAACTCAAACCCAGCTTTCCCTTTGTGATATGGAACCTTGTAGTACAATATCAGAAAGATCCATACACTTAGACAAGTTATTGTCCTGAAACTAGAAAAATGCTTGTTTTTTGCCCCTTTTTGGCCCCTAATTCCTAAAATATTGAGGCAATTACCCCCATCATCAATCCCAGCCTTCCCTTTGTGGTATGGTACCTTGCAGTACAATTTCAGAGAGATCCATACACTTGAACACAAGTTATTGTCTGGAAACTAGAAAAATGCTTATTTTTGGCCCCTAATTCCTTTACTGTTGGTACCATAACCCCCAAAATCAATCCCAACCTTCCTTTTGTGGTATTGAACCTTGTGGTAAAATTTCATAGAGATCCATTCACTTAAACTAAAGTTAGAGTGCGAAAACCAATGTGTCTTCGGATGACGCCAGACGACGACGACAATGACGCCAACGTCATACCAATATACGACCACAAAAATTTTTTTGCAGTCGTATAAAAATGCATTTTACCCCTATGTTCCATTTTAGCCATAGTGGCTATGTTTCTTGACGTACAAGGAAATAAAATACAAAATTTAAACTAGATACTCTGAAACTCATTCAGCCCAAGTTTGGCTGAAATTGATTCAGCAGTTTCAAAGGAGAACATTCTTTAAAGTAAGCAAACTAGATGAACAACTTCTTAAGGGGTCAATTAACAATTTTGGTCATATAAAACTTATTTGTAGATCTTACTTTGCTGAACATTTTTGCTGTTTACAGTTTAAATTTATCTATAATAATATTCAAGATAACCAAAAACTGCAAAATTTCCAAAAAATTACCAATTTAGTGGCAGCAACCCAACAATGGGTTGTTAGATTCATCTGAAAATTGTTAGGCTGATAGAACTTGACCTAATGAACATTTTTCCCCTAGTCAGATTTGCTCTAGATGCTTTAGTTTTTGAGAAAGCCAAAAACTGCATTTTACCCCCATGTTCTATTTTTAGCCATGGCGGCCATGTTTTTTGAAACAGAAAATAAAACACAACTTTATTTTAGATACCCTAAGGATTGATTTGATTGATTTTTGGTGTTTTAGCGCCACTTTTAAGCACTTTTGGGCTATTTTGTGGCGGCCAGTTTTTTATTGGTGGAGGAAGCCGGAGTACCCGGAAAAAACTACTGACCTTCCATAGGAAAACTGACAATCCTAGTCAATTAAGATTGGAGTCGAGTGCACCCGCACCAGAGGGGTTTCGAACTCACAACCTCAGTGTTGACTGGCTAGTGATTACAGTAGTAACTACTTAGACCACTTGGTCACCGAGGCCCAGATACCCTTAGGATCATTCAGTTAAGTTTGGTTAAAATTGGTTCAGTAGTTACAGAGAAGATGTTTGAAATAGTTTACACCGGACGGATGACGATAACAGACACCAAGTGATGGCAAAAGCTCACATTTCCTTTGGAAAGGTGAGCTAAAAACCAAGTGTACAGACACTTGTATATTGTTAAAGACCATCTTGTCAGTCTGTTGACCTCTTGATGTCTTTAGGTTTTTTTTCGTTTTTGGGTTGCTGTCATATAAATTTTTCAGATTTCTGTGTTGCATACAACTCAACATCGAAACTTTACTGTGAAAGAAAGCAAGTAAATATTTAATAACAATTTAATTTGATGGGATACAAACACCAAAATTTTATTAAAATATTACCTCTATTGAATCTTCGATATTCTTGAAATATATGAAACAAAATCCTCTTGATCTGCCACTCTATAATAAAAATAGAATAAACAAGGTCATTAGTTGAAAATTAAGATTTTTAACCAGGCCAAATTTTGTTCACTCCAAAAGGTAGTACCACAAGGGGCTTTTTAGGGTTTGTTAACTTGCAGAAAATAGTACCCTCAAAAATCAAACCATAAATGTGAAAATGTCTAAGCTTCGAAACATGACATCATACATATCCAAGTTGATGATATGGACAGAGGAATGGAAGAAATTTAACAACATTTACCTGAAATGAATTGTGCATATTGACCCAACTTGCAAATTTAACACATTAATGCTCACGAGAAGAAAGCTTCACAAATTAAAATTTGGATGGTTTCATTTCCATCAATCCCCAAAATTTTTAACACTTTTTCCCCTTATAGATTAGAGGAGATAAATATTATCAGCAAGGTAGATTTAAAGATTGTCCTGGCAGCACTGTTTTTTCTCTGGTCAAAACAGAATAACAATTTCTTGTACAAGACCCTCTGCACATCATTACTGCAACTTCATAAACATTAAGTATGGCATTACTTCGTTTTATATAAATAAAATACCTGTCTGTCATAAACAACTTGAACTTCCTCCAATGGACCATATCTAGAAAACACATCCCTCAGATCTCTCTCTGTTGTGTAAAGACTGAGACCAAATATACCAAGACATCTTGTTGGTTCTGGTTTGTCCTATAAAATAGTTCACACATATTGTCAATTATGACGAAGAGTAATCCTTGCCAAGCTCTATGTATTATTTAGGGTTAACATGCTGTGGTTAAATATTGGTTTCTGACATGCCTCACCTGTTTTCTTTTGACCAAGTTATTAAGGACACCAATAATATAATATTTTTTTGGTATACCTGCATTGCTAAATATGTAATTAAGCAATTCTGTCAACTTTGCTTCATTCCAATCAATCCAGTGATTTTTTTTGATATTTTGTGTTGACAAACTTACAAATGAATATTTATAGTGGGTTAAAAAGCTCATTAGAGGTCATGTTATCTGTTGTGTACATATATGCTGACTTGAAACAAAATTTTCTTACTCACAAATTTTGCAGTGGGAAACCTTAAATGTCAATTTGATTAAGAAATAAAATATGAGATGAATAAATGAATAAAGTAATTCTGTCAATTATTGACCCATTCTTTTGTCAAATATAGTAGTTTTTGTGTTGCACAACTTCACATAGTGTGAAATACTTAATTCAAGTTTCTTTCTATGCCTATATATTAAAATTGTAGGATATTCCCCTAATGCAGAAACAGTTTAGTTCATGTTTTGCATTGAGTTGCAGATCTATAATGAATCAAGTTACTGCTTTCTCTTGAACACGATAAATGTACATACAAAGTAATATTGACTCTTACCCTATTGCCTACATGTCTGCTTTCTCTTGAACATGATAAATGTACCTACAAATTAATATTGACTCTTACCCTATTGCCTACATGTCTGCTTTCTCTTGAACATGATAAATGTACATACAAAGTAATATTGACTCTTACCCTATTGCCTACATGTCTGCTTTCTCTTGAACATGATAAATGTACATACAAAGTAATATTGACTCTTACCCTATTGCCTACATGTCTGCTTTCTCTTGAACATGATAAATGTACATACAAAGTAATATTGACTCTTACCCTATTGCCTACATGTCTGCTTTCTCTTGAACATGATAAATGTACATACAAAGTAATATTGACTCTTACCCTATTGCCTACATGTCTGCTTTCTCTTGAACATGATAAATGTACATACAAAGTAATATTGACTCTTACCCTATTGCCTACATGTCTGCTTTCTCTTGAACATGATAAATGTACATACAAAGTAATATTGACTCTTACCCTATTGCCTACATGTCTGCTTTCTCTTGAACATGATAAATGTACATACAAAGTAATATTGACTCTTACCCTATTGCCTACATGTCTGCTTTCTCTTGAACATGATAAATGTACATACAAAGTAATATTGACTCTTACCCTATTGCCTACATGTCTGCTTTCTCTTGAACATGATAAATGTACATACAAAGTAATATTGACTCTTACCCTATTGCCTACATGTCTGCTTTCTCTTGAACATGATAAATGTACATACAAAGTAATATTGACTCTTACCCTATTGCCTACATGTCTGCTTTCTCTTGAACATGATAAATGTACATACAAATCAATATTGACTCTTACCCTATTGCCTACATGTCTTCGTCTGTTTGACATTGGTGAAGTATCCTTTAAGAAAAAAACACAAACTAGAATACAAAAGTTGAAAAAAGACTGAATTTCGTAAAATTAAAAAAACAGCTCTGCATTTGAGGACTTTTGCCTTTCAGAATCTGAATGTGGCTATGAAACTCTGGACTTCTTTGTAATGGAATGTGATCCAGATCTATTAAAGGATTAATGTAATTAGATAAATTCAATCCTGTTAGAATATCAAAGGCACCTTGCCATTTCTTGCACAAAATAAAATAAAATGCTCTGCTGGGCGCAGCTTGATACGACCGCAGAGGTCGAACCCTGAACAGTTGGGGCAAGTATGGACACAACATTCAAGCTTGATACAGCACTGAATTTGGATTGTGATTAAATATTTGACACAGCATAGGTTTCTGACACAGAATGAATGTGGTCTAAGAACTTAGAAATTTTTAATTTACCTATTCAAACCATATCATTATTATTTGCTCTTATATATAAATCAGAAATAACCAATTTAAAATGGAAAATTTTAAAGAATAAGGAACCCCCCCCCCCCCAAATTTTTTGAACCCACTTATGATTCATTACCCCCAAACTCAATCCTAGCCTTCCCTTTGTGGTATGGTACCTTGCAGTACAACTTCAGAGAGATCCATACACTTGAACACAAGTTATTGTCTGGAAACTAGAAAAATGCTTGATTTTAGGCCCCTTTTTGGCCCCAAATTCCTAAATATTTAAAGCAATTACCCCCAAACTCAAACCCAGCTTTCCTTTTGTGATATGGAACCTTGTAGTACAATTTCATAAAGATCCATACACTTACACACAAGTTATTGTCCTGAAACTAGAAAAATGCTTGTTTTTTGCCCCTTTTTGGCCCCTAATTCCTAAAATTTTGAGACAATTACCCCCAAAATCAATCCCAGCCTTCCCTTTGTAGTATGGTACCTTGCAGTACAATTTCAGAGAGATCCATACACTTGAACACAAGTCAATGTCTGGAAACTAGAAAAATGCTTATTTTTGGCCCCTTATTCCTAAACGTTTTGGGCAATTACCCCCAAACTCAATTCCAGCTTTTCCTTTGTGATATGGAACCTTGTAGTATAATTTCAGAATGATCCATACACTTACACACAAGTTATTGTCATGAAACTAGAAAAATGCTTGTTTTTTGCCCCTTTTTTGGCCCCCAATTCCTAAAATTTTGAGGCAATTACCCCCAAAATCAATCTCAGCATTCCCTTTGTGATATGGAACCTTGTGGTACAATGTCAGAGAGATCCATACACTAACACACAAGTTATGTCTGGAAGTTACAATAAAATGCTTCGCTGGGGCGCAGCTTGATACGACCGCAGAGGTCGAACCCTGAACAGTTGGGGCAAGTATGGACACAACATTCAAGCTTGATACAGCTCTGAATTTGGATTGTTATTAAATATTTGACACAGCATAGGTTTCTGACACAGAAAGAATGTGGTCTAAGAACTTGAATTTAATTTACCTATTATGGTCCAATGTCCAAAATCAAAATACATGGTTAGATTCAGCATATCAAAGAACCCCATATATTCAATTTTTGTTAAAATCAAACAAAGTTTAATTTTGGACCCCAACTTGGACAAACTTGAAAACTGGGCCCATAATCAAAAATCTAAACACATGTTTAGATTCAGCATATCAAAGAACCCCAAGAATTCAATTTTTGCTAAAATCAAACTAAGTTTAATTTTGGACCTTTTGGACCTTAATGTAGACCAATTTAAAAAACGGGACTTAAAATTAAAAATCTAAATACACGGTTAGATTTGGAATATCAAAGAACCCCAATAATTCAATTTTTGATGAAATCAAACAAAGTTTAATTTTGGACCCTTTTGACCTCAATATAAACCAATTTGATAGCGGGGCCCACAAATAAAAATTCTAAATTCATGGTTAGATACAGCATATCAAAGAACCCCATATATTCAATTTTTGTTGAAATCAAAAAAAGTTTAATTTTGGACCCCAACTTGGACCAACTTGAAAACTGGGCCCATAATCAAAAATCTAAACACATGTTTAGATTCAGCATATCAAAGAACCCCAAGAATTCAATTTTTGTTAAAATCAAACTAAGTTTAATTTTGGACCCTTTGGACCTCAATGAAGACCAATTTAAAAAACGGGACCCAAATTAAAAATCTAAAAACACGGTTAGATTTGGCATATCAAAGAACCCCAATAATTCAATTTTCGATGAAATCAAACAAAGTTTAATTTTGGACCCTTTTGACCTCAATATGAACCAATTTGATAGCGGGGCCTACAAATAAAAAATCTAAATACATGGTTAGATTCAGCATATCAAAGAACCTCATATATTCAATTTTTGTTGAAATCAAACAAAGTTTAATTTTGGACCCCAATTTGGACCAACTTGAAAACTGGGCCCATAATCAAAAATCTAAATACATGTTTAGATTCAGCATATCAAAGAACCCCACATATTCAATTTTTGTTGAAATCAAACAAAGTTTAAATACTGGACCCTATCTTGGACCAACTTGAAAACTGGGCCCATAATCAAAAATCTAAACACATGTTTAGATTCAGCAAATCAAAGAACCCCAAAAATTTAATTTTTGTTAAAATCAAACTAAGTTTAATTTTGGACCCTTTGGACCTCAATGTAGACCAATTTAAAAAAACAGGACCCAAAATTAAAAACCTAAATACACGGTTAGATTTGGAATATCAAAGAACCCCAATAATTCAATTTTAGATGAAATCAAACAAAGTTTAATTTTGGACCCTTTTGACCTCAATATGAACCAATTAGATAACGGGGTCCACAAATAAAAAATCTAAATACATGGTTAGATTCAGCATATCAAAGAACCCCATATATTCAATTTTTGTTGAAATCAAACAAAGTTTAATTTTGGACCCCAATTTGGACCAACTTGAAAACTGGGCCAAAAATCAAAAATCTAAATACATGTTTAGATTCAGCATATCAAAGAACCTCATATATTCAATTTTTGCTAAAATCAAACAAAGTTTAATTTTGGACCCTTTGGACATTAATGTAGACCAATTTGAAAACTGGACCCAATCAAAAATCTAAATACACTGTTAGATTCGGCATAACAAATAAATAAATGTGATCAAAGATTTTACAAATCTAATGCGCCATACTGTGCAATTAAAGATTACTTCTTGAAATTTTTCAATATTTGAAATTTGAAAAAAAAATAATATTTGAAGAATAATTCTTTTTAATTTCTGAAATCTGAAATGAGAAAAAATTGGCCCCCCACAATTTCTTTTTATCCCCCCCCCCCCTTTTTCCCCCCAAAAAATTCTTTCCCTCAAGATATGGTCATAATCTCAATTCGAATTTCCAATGGAGTTGGCAACCATAATTACCCATTTAAATTTACCATAGTGCTAACTTAATCTATTTTATAATAGAATTAATAAAAATATAGTGTCAAATCTTTCATATTGATTTTTTTGTAAAAAAAAAAGATGAAAACATTTGCAGATATTTTTACTGGTCTTCCTTTATAAATATGCATTTCTTTAAACATAATTTAAAAGCAGTGTAAGGGAAGTAGCCAAAACGTTGTATTTGGATTACCTCCCTTACACTGTTTTAGATTATCTTTATTGTTCATTAACCATTACTTTATACATAATTTAAAAGCAGTGTAAGGGAGATAATTTCAATGATGTATTTGATTTATCTCCCTTACACTGCTTTAAATTATGTTTTGTACTAAAGTATTTGTCCATTAACCAGGACAACCTTGTTTTTCCCCCTTTTTTGCCCCTAATTCCTAAACGGTTTGAGCCATAACCCCCCAAAGCAAATCCTAACCATCCCTTTGTGGTATGGAAACTTGTAGTATAATTTCAGAGAGATCCATACACTGTTCCACAGTTATTGTCTGGAAACTAGAAAATGCTCATTTTTGGCCCCTTTTTGGCCCCTAATTCCTTAACTGTTGGTACCATAACCCCCAAAATCAATCCCAACCTTCCTTTTGTGGTATTTAACCTTATGGTCAAATTTCAAAAAGATCCATTCACTTAAACTAAAGTTAGAGTGCGAAAACCAATATGTATTCGGACGACGACGACGACGCCAACGTCATACCAATATACGACCACAAATTTTTTTTGCGGTCGTATAAAAATGCTTATTTTTGGCCCCTTTTTGGCCCGTAATTCCTTAACTGTTGGTACCATAACCCCCAAAATCATTCCCCACCTTCCTTTTGTGATATTGAACCTTATGGTAAAATTTCATGGAGATCCATTCACTTAAACTTAAGTAAGAGTGCGAAAACCAATGTGTCTTTGGATGATGACGAAGACGACGCCAACGTCAAACCAATATACAACCACAAAATTTTTTTGCTTCGTATAAAAAATCCTGTGTTTTCAGATTATGTTTCTTATGATTTATTACTGGTAATGAGTGTTTATATCTAATGATAATAATGTTTCATTCAGGGCAAAGTTGGTTTGAATGCCCTTTATTCAATCCACAGATTAAACCATAAATTATGAATCAATAATGAACTTGACCTTTCTGATTAAACACGTTGTTGAGTTATGGACAAAAAACATATTATTTACAATGTATGTGTATGCATATGCCGTAGGTAAATATGACATAAATACAATATAAAAACAACTAACCAGTGTAACCTTAACACGACTCAAAATTTAATTTGACTGAAATTAAAGAACAATAACCAATCAATGATTCATAATTTTAAATCAACTTCTCTTCCTTTTTGTAGTATATTATACCCAAGTCTTTCTAACGTACCTTGTATTTCTGTAAAAGAAAAAAGAAGCCTGTTGTAGTTTAACAATTTCGGACATCAACTTCCATTATTAAAGACTTAAAATAAACAACAGTATGAGGACTTTTCAAAGAATTTTCATATACTGAATTTGGTTGTGTATTTGACCATGTTGACTGCGGTATGCATACAATTCAGTTACAACAGGCTATACAGACATTTTTTTCAAGTTTTCAAATTAAGGGATTTACCCAGTTATGAGTATTATAATAGTGAAGCAGAAATGTCTGCTGTTTGTTTCTGTATTGTTTTATTCTAGTTCAAAATAAACAATTGAACAGTATTTTATTTGTGTTTTGCATGGTAACAGTAAGTGATGTGCAAGTTTCAAGCTATTCTACATGATATCAGCTGACTGTGGAACTTTGACATCGTTGTTGAGGAGCAGAATTGAAGTATCCTATACAATAAATGAAAGAGAAAAACAGGACCTTTTTGTAGACTACTGTGGTAAGAATTTTTAAATCAAATGAGTCATAAGAGAGAATATGCAACTTACATTCCATTTTTATGCTTGCTTTTATTTCAAACTACAGAAAATGTTGAACTCCAGTCATTTTGTCAGTCAATTAAATTTTGTATCTTCTGTCATTTTGTTACAGTAAAATAAATGTTGTAAATCCTGACATTTTGTAAAAGTAAAAGAAATTGATCAAATTTCCCAAGACTTGCATATTATTTGTTAATCATCTACCTACCCTTCCTCCTCCTCTGTATCTTGGTGGCGATCGACTATAACTTCTACCATAACCATATCGTCTTGAGGAGTTGTTTTTGTAGTCACGGGAATAAGCTGGTGATGGATCTCGGCTTTATAGTAAAAATAAATACATGATTTTTTACATTTATAAAATATGATTGACAAGGTATGCCCTAATTGTGATTAAATCATCTAGTTGAAGTCTGAGGAATTTTTGTTCTTGACATTTCTCAACTATAACAGTTTAATTAAGCTTTTTGCTTGCTCATATCTGTTGAAGGTTTTTGTCTTCAAGAAACTAAGTGTACAAGACAAGTAGTTGGCATATCTTTAGCAATCTCAGTTAAACCAAAATCTTGCTATACTTTACACAGTTTAGGACAACATAAATCTTTTTTTTTTAATGCAGCTGTTTAGCCAGCGCTTGTCAATTTTGTCTTTTATGAAACAATTTTTAAAATAATATGTTTCAGTACTTAAATTTGTAAAAAGAAAAAAATTCAATGCGAACCCCAAGCTAATTAACGACCAAAACAGGTGTCAAAAAGAGAGAGTCTTATCTGTTAATCTGCTTATCCTTTGGGTCAATAATCAAGCTAAAAAATAATTTATTTAAATAGGGTTGGTCAATTGGCATTTTAATTTTATTATATTTTTTCATACATCCACAATTTTCAACATTTAAGTGACATTAACATAATTTACAGGCACTGTTTTACTTTATCTTCCTTAAAATTTTAATTTAGATTTGTTTTGGATTTTTCTTCCACACTTTTACTGACTATCAGTTACCACTAGTAGGAGCACCTGTGAATACAAGATTTTGTTCCAAGAAAGATCTCAAAACAAATTACTTAAGGAATGACTGTAATATTTTTTCTGTGTATGAAGAAATAACATAATAAATTGCTTCGCCGAGCGCAGCTGGATACGACCGCAGAGGTCCAACCCTGAACAGTTGGGGCAAAAATGGACACCATATTCGCGCTTGATACAGGTCTGAATTTGGATTGTAATTAAATATTTGACACATAATAGGTTTCTGACACAGAATAACTGTAGTCAAAGAACTTGAATTGGTTATGTGATTTGAATTACTCCCCCCCACCCTTTTTTTTATTGCAAAAAAAAAAAAAATGTTTGCAGAAATTTTCTTTTTAATTTCTGAAATCTCGAAAACAAATTGTCACCCCCCCCCCCCCCCCCCCCCCCCCCTTCCCAATTTTTTTTAACCTCCCCCACCCAAAAAAAAAAATTCTTTCCCTCAAGATATGGTCATAATCTCAATTCATATTTCCAATGGAGTTTGCAACCATAATAACCCATTTAAATACATCATAAAAGTCTTTAAATTGAAAATGTCATACCAGTACAAGATCATGGCTAAATTTTAAATTACCTTCATCAGCATTTTTAAAATAGTAACTTCTAAAAATAAATTGACAGCTAATCACCTCAAGACAATACAACATTTTTTTATACATAATTTATAAGCAGCGTAAGGGAGGTAATTCAAATGTTGTGTTTGAATTACCTCCCTTGCACTGCTTTAAATTATTTTTTGTACTTAAGTAATTGTCCAGGATACCCTTGTTTCCCCCTTTTTTGCCCCTAATTCCTCAACGGTTTGAGCCATAACCCCCCAAAGCCAATTCTTACCATCCCTTTGAGGTATGGAAACTTGTGGTATAATTTTAAAGAGATCCATACACCATTCCACAAATTGTTGTCTGGTAACTAGAAAAAACTGCTTCGCTGAGTGCAGCTAGATATGCCCGCAGAGGTCCAACCCTGAACAGTTGGGGCAAAAATGGACACAATATTCAAGCTTGATTCAGGTCTGAATTTGGATTGTAATTAAATATTTGACATATTATAGGTTTCTGAATAAATGTAGTCAAAGAACTTGAAATTGGTTATATGAATTGAATTCAAATAAAGATTTCTTGCTGTTGTGCAATACTTAGTAAATCTGTTGTCAGATTATATACAAATAAAGTTCAATTAATTCTCAATGTCATATTAGAAATTTTTGAAAATAAAAAAGGAGCTTACATCAATAGATATAAACAATTCACCAAAGTTTCATGAGAATTGGTGAAATTTTATTTAAGTTATTGCCGAAAACTGGAAAATCACCCCTTTTTTTAATGAATAAAACCCCATAACTCAGAAATGTAAAATGTAAAATTTATAAAATTCTAAAGGGAGCTTACATCAATACATACAAACAATTCACAAAATTTTCAAAAGAATTGCTGAAAGCATTTTTGAGTTTTTGTCCGAAAACTGGAAAATCCCCCCTTTTTTTATGAATAAAACCCTGTAACTAGGAAACCTAAAATCTAAAATTTATAAAAATCGAAAGAGAGCTCATGTCAATAGATATAAACAATTCACCACAATTTCTTGCAAGTTGGTGACAGCATTCTTGACTTATTGTCCGAAAACTGGAAAACCCCCCTTTTTTTAATGAATAAAACCCCATAACTCGTAAACGTAAAATCTAAATTTTATAAAAAACGAAAGGGAGCTCACGTCAATAGATATAAACAATTCACCAAAGTTTTATGCAAATTGGTTAAAGCATTTTTGAGTTAATGTCCCACATGATGACGACGGACAGAGGTATACCATAATACGTCCCTTAAACGGGCGTATAAAAATGCTTATTTGGGCCCCTTTTTGGCCCCTAATTTCTGAATGCTTTGGGCAATTACCCCCAAACTCAATTCCAGCTTACCCTTTGTGATATGAAACCTTGTAGTACAATTTCAGAAAGATCCATACATACCCCACCAAAACTCAAACTTGACCTGTGTTTTGTGTTAATAAGCATTGTGTATGAGTTTCATAACATTTGGTTGAGGCAAACTAAAGTTAGAGAACGGAAACCAATTTTGGGACGTACGGACGGACGGATGTACAGACGGACGTGGGTAAAACTTAATGCCGCCTCTGCTACGGCGGGGGCATAATAAGGAGATGTGGTATGATTGCCAATGAGACAAATATCCACCAAAGTTCAAATGAAGTGGATGTATGCAATTATATGCAACCGTTCAGCCTTCAACCCATACTGTTTATTCGGCTATAAAAGGCCCTGACATGAAAAAAATTAAACGAATCAATTGACAAAATTAACGACCTAATTCATAACAAAACAATTTACGAAAAACAAATTTGACAGGCATGAACCAACGACATCCAGTGAACTGTATAAAGGCTCCTGACTTGAGACGAGCACAGATAGAATGGTATGCTGTTTCAAAGAATCGTATGCAAAGCATATATGCATGTAAAAATCTTTTATATATATTTGTACAACTATACATATTTGTGTATTTATAAAGGGCTGTCCATCAATAACCACACCAAGTTATACTACTTTGTATTCAAATGCATCATATCAGATGCTATATATATTAACTAAACAAGAAGAACAATTCAGTACATTCAATTCAGGGTGTTACACCACCAAATTATAGTACGTCACATCCAGTTTCATATGAAAAAGGGTAAAAAAAAATGTTCCTTGAATTTGACAACTAAGGAAAAGTTTCAGAGTCAATATACCATGACAGAGGAGGTGAACCAAAATAATCTCCAGGGAAATGAGATGTGCCAATGTTAACACAACTGCATATCAAATATCATTGACATACCACTAGGGCTTCCACATAAATTAACCTAATCACAAACTAATACATGTAAAATAAGTAAAAGTTTTAAAGTCAATAGACAATCATTGAGGGGCCAGGGCCAAATAATCCCCATGGAAATGAGATGTGACAATTCTAATGCAACTGCATACTAAATATGATTGACTTATCATTAGTAGTTCCCCTTAAACTGACCTAATCAGAAACTATTACATGTAAATTAAGCAAAAGTTTGAAAGTCAAAAGACCATGAATGAGGAGTGGGGTTGAATAACCTCCATGGAAATGAGATATGCCAATGCTTATACAGCTGCATATTAAATATCATTGACCTACTGAAAAACAATGGTGGTATTACTTCTTAGTCATTGCTTTGCTGAAGAATTTAATTGCAATTAAATCTTTATGTATATTGGGATATTGCTCTGTGTTGAAGGCCATACCTTGAACTTTACTCATTACTGCCATACTGGTTGCAAACCTCAATATATGTGGTCTCTGGTGGAAAGTTTGTCTCATTGACAATCATACAAATTCTTATTTTTAGAAGATTTTGTAAATTGTAAAGTTTGAATGATGTATTATATTCAATTACCACCAAAACTTTCTTGTCAAATTCTATGCTTTATAACTTTGTAATGATACTAGCAAATACAAATGAAAATTTCAAAGAAAAAACCTTTTATTCAAAACGATAAATAAAAAAAAGTAAAAAATATAATAGTTTCATTGCGTGCCTTTACATTGTATGTTACACCTTTTCAGGATTTTCTTTCATTCTTATGCATGTTATATTGCCATAATTTGAGTCTTTCAATTCAGTGGTTGTGCAAGGCGCACTTCAAACAAATCGGTAAAAGAATTGTCCAAATCACATTCCACTGCTGTGTTTGGCAGTAAGGTCTTTGCCTGCGTTTCCACTGTTTCTATAAATATTCCACTTATGTCGTATGTTTAGAATATATATCATATCATATTTGGCCATACGTTGTGAATGTTAGATCTAGATTGTTATTGATGTTAATTTCCATGTTTATAAGGCGTTAATTTCAAATGCACAGTTGATTAAAATTTTTGTTACAATAATTTAGACAGTCAGACGGACGCACGTTTTGAAAAAAAGTACTTTTTCTTGTCGACCTTTCACAACACACAGGGAATCCGACAAACAGTGTTCTCCCCAGGATTTTTGGATAGCACCAGGGTAACGCGTGTGGACTTCTTGGTGAAATATTTCATGCAATCAGTTGTGTCGCGTCGCTTAGCTCTAGTTACTGTAGTTTTTATGTCTCTTGTTTTGTTTTAACACTGTGGTACTGTGTTATGTGGACATTGATTCAGAAAATTATTGGTAAAAAAGAAGTAAATAAAAAAAAACAGTTTATACTTTAATATTTTTTTAAAATAAATAAATTATGATTCATAATAAAATATTCATCTGAATTTAAAGTAATTAAATCTTTTATAAAATCCAAAATCAATAAAAATAAAATATCATTCAAAAGAGAACAAAAATGTTCAATTAATTTAAAAAACTTTCTAGTTTCTAGAAAAAAAGTTGTTGTATGTGAAAGGATTCCTGTCATAAGAAGATATAAAATTAACAAGAACAATTGCAAATATTGTTTTATTATTTGAACCAGTTTCTATCTTAGATTTTAATAAAAAGAAATTTTTCATAAATTTTAGAACATTTTGCCATAGGTTTCATGTAAATATTAACCTTTCTTGTCTTTGGTGATAATCAAACATAGATACAGACTTAATACTGCCCTAAAATCTAAATCTTTATTTGTCATGAACCATTTAAAAAGAATTCCTCAATCTATAAATTTATCTTTGGTCTATAGATCTATAAGTAACCATATTCAATGTCAACAACTAAGTCTCCCTATTTTCCCGCCTAAATGACAGGAAGTAGATATAAATAGATTTAACATGTGCTTATGGATAAAATTTGCAAGACTACTTCTGTTATTCATTAATTATGGATATAGATATCCAGTTTGAAGGTACAGTCATGCATTTTATTTATAAAATATAATAGATTGCAATTAATTGTAAATAAACTTGAATATTCTACGTGAACTAACTGGGTCATGTGATATGTACAGACAGTTTGAAACCCGACTTTCATGCAATAACAATGTCATAATTAAAGATAATATTGGCCATGGTTTAATCAGAGACATATAATACTATAATATAAGAATTGGGAAATGTATAGTTGTCCATTATACGTAATGAGCCACCATTATGATGTACAAAAAATGTTCCTATCGGGTCAAGACACTGTTTGTGTTCAAAGTATTTGCCGACTTGAATTGTCACAGGTCAGTGCTTGGGTGGAGAGTGAAGCCATAAAATAGTTATCTGTGATCATAAAGTTATGAACTCTTAATTAAAACACAAAAGAATCATGTTACAAGTGTTAATTACATCGATTAAATCCAATCAACAAGGTAAACCTCATAAGGTAAATCGATCACGTGGTGTAAACAATTTGTGTTGAACTGATTTGAACTGGTCAAATTTCACCTGGAATTTTATACCGCACGGAAAAGATTTAACAAGTCGTTTAAAACTTTACCGATTTACGATTTTTTAACTGAAAATTTTAGCACCACGGAGAAAAATTATACATCGCGGTAAGAACGATACCACCACGGTAAAAAATTATACATCGCGGGCCCGCGGTCCTTTAAGGGCCTGGGGAGAACACTGACAAACGAGGTATTAATTTGGAGTGGTCTAAGGAGTAAATCATGAAAAAACCTTGATGACGTCACGGTCACATGACAAAATTATGTCTATGAGCTGATAGACAAAAAACTTTCAGCCAATCAGAAGACATGTTACATCCAAAATTAAATTATTCACTATTAACATCCCTCTGTCAGCATGGTAAGTATTTGGTTTACAGGTGAGTGATATGGATGTAACAATCCAATCTTTTATGGTAAAATTCTATACAAAGCACAAAAATGTCGTCATTCACCTCAAAAGCTAACCAAACCTTTAAACAGACTTATTCAGAAGGGATATAGTTAAGATACTGTTGTCAGGTCATTAAAGATGGCATTTTTTGGAATAAATATTGATTTAGTCATAGGGTCTTTGTATTGGAAATAAACACATTTATTCTAAAACCAGATGTTGGCATGATACGGGTTATGTTCTTCTCGTATATTTTATGATGGTATGATACTAAACCCCTAACGGGAGAGATTGTTCTTGATTTTCATATGCTGAAGACCTAATCTTTCAATCAGTTTAATTGAGGTCTGGAGCTGGCATATCAGTAACTGCTAGTAGTCCTTTGTTAATTTATGTATCATTGTCATTTTGCTTAGTTTCTCCCGTTACCTATTCTGACATCGGACTCAGACTTCTTTTAAGCTGAGTTTTTGTTTATTCTACATTGGCTAGAGGTATAGGGGAGGGTTGAGATCTCACAATTCATGTTTAACCCTGGCGCAGTTTTCCGCCCGTCCCAAGTCAGGAGCCTCTGGCTTTGTTAGTTTTGTATGTTTTTTAAAATTTTTGTTCATTTATATGTTTCAAGGTTTAATGTGACGTCCATTTTCGCTTAACTAGTACACATTTTTGTTTAGGGGCCAGCTGAGACCGCCTCAGGGTGCTGGATTTTCTCGCTGTGTTGAAGACCCATTGGTGGCCTTGGGCTGTTTTCTGCTCTTTGGTCGGGTTGTTGTCTCTTTGACACATTCCCCGTTTCCATTCTCAACTTTATGTTTATATATCAAGAAACATACCTTCTGCTTCTAGAGCTGAAATGTATAGAAAAGAGTTAAATGGTTTAATTATATCAAAATATAATGGATTTCTAACTTTCTGGAAAAGTTGTTGGTACAATGTATAATTGTTTCAAATGCTTCAGAAACCTGTCAAAATTTTAAACTATTCTGCTCTGGCATTTAAAATTCTAATTGATCACATGTATTACAGATAAGTTAGTTCTTTTTATCATAATTGAAATACTTATTCCTTACACTAGAGGTAATCATAAATCTGCCATGGAAAATGAGGCCAAAATTAAATAAAATGCTTCGCTGGGCGCAGCTTGATACGATCGCAGAGGTCGAACCCTGAACAGTTGGGGCAAGTATGGACACAACATTCAAGCTTGATACAATCTGAATTTGGATTGTGATTAAATATTTGACACAGCATAGGTTTCTGACACAGAAAGAATGTGGTCTAAGAACTTCATTTTTTTAATTTACCTATTATGGTCCAATGTCCAAAATCAAAATACATGGTTAGATTCAGCATATCAAAGAACCCCATATATTCAATTTTTTTTGAAATCAAACAAAGTTTAATTTTGGACCCCAACTTGGACAAACTTGAAAACTGGGCCCATAATCAAAAATCTAAACACATGTTTAGATTCAGCATATCAAAGAACTCCAAAAATTCAATTTTTGTTAAAATCAAACTAAGTATAATTTTGGACTCTTTGGACCTTAATGTAGACCAATTTAAAAAACGGGACCCAAAATTAAAAATCTAAATACACGGTTAGATTTGGCATATCAAAGAACCCCAATAATTCATTTTTTGATGAAATCAAACAAAGTTTAATTTTGGGCCCTTTTGACCTCAATATGAACCAATTTGATAGCGGGCCACAAATAAAAAATCTAAATACATGGTAAGATTCAGCATATCAAAGAACCCCATATATTCAATTTTTGTTGAAATCAAACAAAGTTTAATTTTAGACCCCAATTTGGACCAACTTGAAAACTGGGCCAAAAATCTAAAATCTAAATACATGTTTAGATTCAGCATATCAAAGAACCCCATATATTCAATTTTTGTTGAAATCAAACAAAGTTTAATTTTGGACCCCAACTTGGACCAACTTGAAAACTGGGCCCATAATCAAAAATCTAAACACTTGTTTAGATTCAGCATATCAAAGAACCCCAAGAATTCAATTTTTGTTAAAATCAAACTAAGTTTAATTTTGGACCCTTTGGACCTTAATGTAGACCAATTTAAAAAACGGGACCCAAAATCAAAAATCTAAATACGCGGTTAGATTTGGCATATCAAAGAACCCCAATAATTCAATTTTTGATGAAATCAAACAAAGTTTAATTTTGGACCCTTTTGACCTCAATATGAACCAATTTGATAGCGGGGTCCACAAATAAAAAATCTAAATACATGGTTAGATTCAGCATATCAAAGAACCCCATATATTCAATTTTTGTTGAAATCAAACAAAGTTTAATTTTGGACCCCAATTTGGACCAACTTGAAAACTGGGCCAAAAATCAAAAATCTAAATACATGTTAAGATTCAGCATATCAAAGAACCCCATATATTCAATTTTTGTTAAAATCAAACAAAGTTTAATTTTGGACCCTTTGGACCTTAATGTAGACCAATTTGAAAACTGGACCCAAAATTAAAAATCTAAATACACAGTTAGATTCGGCATAACAAATAAATAAATGTGGTCAAAGATTTTACAAATCTAATGCGCCATACTGGTCTTCCTTTATAAATATGCATTTCTTTAAACATAATTTAAAAGCAGTGTAAGGGAAGTAACCAAAACGTTGTATTTGGATTACCTCCCTTACACTGTTTTAAATTATCTTAATTGTTCATTAACCATTACTTTATACATAATTTAAAAGCAGTGTAAGGGAGATAATTTCAATGATGTATTTGATTTATCTCCCTTACACTGCTTTAAATTATGTTTTGTACTAAAGTATTTGTCCATTAACCAGGACAACCTTGTTTTTCCCCCTTTTTTGCCCCTAATTCTTAAACAGTTTGAGCAATAACCCCCCAAAGCAAATCCTAACCATCCCTTTGTGGTATGGAAACTTGTAGTATAATTTCAGAGAGATCCATTCACCGTTCCACAGTTATTGTCTGGAAACTAGAAAATGCTTATTTTTGGCCCCTTTTTCCTTAACTGTTGGTACCATAACCCCCAAAATCAATCCCCACCTTCCTTTTGTGGTATTGAACCTTATGGTAAAATTTCATAGAGATCCATTCACTTAAACTAAAGTTAGAGTGTGAAAACTAATGCGTCTTCGGACGACGACGACGCCAACGTCATACCAATATACGACCTTAAAAATTTTTTTGCGGTCGTATAAAAATGGTTTGTTTGCCATAGCCCGACCGACCCGATTGAAACCCTCCCGACTGTATCATTTTTACGATTTCAGGATTTTTTTCAGTACTTTTCAGGATCCGGTCGTCTTTCTCTTCCACTTTGGTCCCGGTCGCAAAGGCGCTTTGAACGTTAATCTGGAAGCCTGTGTATACTCGTGGTGTAAAGCGCTTAACTGATCCGGATGTCAGAGGTTTCATTTGCAAAATTTGTCCAGACATGGACGCTGTTTTAAATAAACGAATCCAGGCTCACCCATTAGCAAAAATGTTAGGCCCGGTGTTTCTGCCGTGTTTGGGGGAAATCCCTGAGTCTGGTTTCATCAGACATCGACTCATTAAGTTGTATATTGGTGTGTTATTTATGCTTTTTTGTTTTATTACGTATGTTATATTCACAGGAATCGGAAATTCTATCAATAAAATTCTGTAAATAATAAAGTTGACTATCAATAGAGCTTCTACACGATTTTATTGATAGAATTTCTGATTCCTGTGTTATATTGGACCATACAATGGTAGTCTTTGGATAAAATAGTAGTTGATTTTTTACGAGCTCAGTAGAGCAGACTATAACAGCTAATGCTTTGATAATAGATCTTGTAAGTTTTTATGTCTTTTATAAGAAATAATGGGCTGAAATATGTTCACACATTCAGGGTTTTCAATTAACTTTTGTGAAATAAGATTCCAGTGTTTCATTATTTCATTTTTTAGTTTCTGTATAGATGGGTTGAATTTTGATAACATTACTAGTGGTTGTTCCCGTTTCGTTGGGCTTTGTATAAGCATATGTTTCCTTTCTGTATTTTGTGTTTGATAAAAAAATTCGTTGATTTTAAATGTTTTATATCCTCGTTTGAGGAGACATATTTTAAAAGCTTCCGACTGTTTTTTAAATTTAGTTTTGCTGCTTGTATTTCTGATGTATCTCAATACTTCACCCTTGATAAATCCTTTGAAAACACTGTTTAAGGTGTGAGCTGTGTCTGTTCAGATATTGAAATGTTTCAGTTGGTTGGATATGGGTTATAGGTGGGTTTGAACCCACCCCTACTAAAAACATTGTAATTTTTTTTATTTTAATACGACCTTGAGAGGTGAACATTGACCAAACTGTGTTTCTTTGTCATTCAAATATTACCTTATAGTTACAACAGTCTAACCAGACTGACTGGAAGAATATGTGACTTGAGTGCCTTGCTGGGGAATTATTATTGGCAAGCCAGGTCTGCCTAAATGTCCGTTTTTACAGATTTCTCACAAAACGGTGACCTAGATTTTACAGACCATATTATACCTCCTTGTGTTCCTGTACCACCTATGCATATATTTATGATAAAAGTTATTACCTACAATCCATACCAGTAACGTAGTGGGCACCAAAAGACTCCCACCCACTTGATTTTGGCTACTTTTTACGTTTTTCCGATTTTGAACTCTAAAATGGCCTTTCAGTTGTCATATTTTAATAAACACACATCTGAGAAGAGTTTTTGGAACAACAATTACATGATTGAACTCATTGCTGTCAATACAGCTCAGCTGGGGCAGTTGTAAAAAAGTATGGAGGGTCATATGGGCCTTAAAAGAATGGTGGTTGCAATCACGACTACAGGTGGGATTAGGGGCGAAGAGGTTAAATAATCCATTATATTTATAAAAAAAAAAAAAAAAAAAAAAAAAAAAACACTACCTACCTCCCAATCCTTTTTATGGCACTCGGGCTATGGCAAACCAACATATTTTTAAATGAGACCTGATAAATGAATAGCCCTTAGTCTGCATTCAAAAATCATTTATTATTTTTATTCTTCTGTTTACACTTTCTGACTTAGAGTATATATTCATCCAGTGATATTGTTTGCCTCAAATTACATCCGAAATTCGGCTTTTTCCCCTAGAGAAAATTCCCAATTACTAAAAAAAATGGCTTGAAATTCCTCCCAATAAGTTTTACATTTTTCCCTAAAGTGATGGCATTGGTATTAATGAACGTAAATTTCGGATTCATGTTCATTATTTTGATATTATGAAAGCGCTTTTGAGATCCATGTTTCTGATCAGAATCATCACGGTGTTTGTAACACATGTGGTTTTCAATGCATTAAGTACCATAATTGTTTCCGTCTCTTTCACCTCCCCAAAAAGTACCTTTCAGGTTTAAATGTCTGACAATCAAAATATACGTGATAAAACTGTGCAGAAAAGACAGTAAAGTTTAGCAAAAAATCGGATATTGCTTAAAAAAAAATAAACCAACTTCCCAATTTCAATAAAAATTATGCATTTTTCCCAAAAAAAAACGGTAGAGGTAGTTTTGAAAAAAGACAACAATATCACTGTCATCAAAGAATATTGCAGCAATAACAGTAAATCAGAAAAGTGACATGCAACCAATGGCCCAGCTCAACAAAACACACAATTATAAATGGACAAATGTTTAACATATCCACATGCAATGTAATGTCAAGGGAATAGAATTTCAATTAACTGAATGACAAGCATGTTCTGAGTGATGTACTATGGCAGCCTGATAGCCTAATGCTTAAAATTAAAGTCTTTCATAATGTCTCTACAACTCTCAAGTCTTCACGCTTAGCCACAGGCCCAGCAGTCCAGGCTTGTAAAAATGCTTTCAGGCCTGTAAAAATCATCTCTTCAGGCCAACAGAATCTAACTTAAATTTTCCAAAAATTCAGCTCTGTGTCTATAGATTTAAAAGTGTGTTTTGAAGACTGAGTCTCTCTACTAAAATATTGAATACTTACTATCTGGATGACTTTTTATGATATGGTGATCTTGATCTGGACCTAGAGTATTTGTTGTAACTTCGGCTTCTTGATCTGAAATAAAAGTATATATATAGTTTGCAATTTGTAATTGATCTGAGTTTTGTAGTAATTAGCATTGTGCATAAGTTTCATAACATTTGCTTGAGGCAAATTAAAGTTAAGAGAACAGAAACCATTTTTGGGACGTACGGACGGACAAGGGCAAAACTTAATGCCCTCTTTGCTATAGGTGTGGGGGCACAAAAGGACGTTGAAAATATTCTGATACTACCATGGGACAATAAATCCAATTTTGATTTAAATTCCATAGTTCTCAATTTATCAAAATTTAATAAAAAGATTGAGGGACTTGTCAAAAACATTATATCTCCAATTGTAGGATTTCTTATTTTTCTGCATATCACTGAACATTGTCATCTTTTTGAAAGTACAGTAAAAAAATGTAAAGTATGTTAGATATCTTACATGGGCTTTAAACATATTCTTCTTTGGTACCTACAGTTTAACTTTGCGGTTCTGTTTGCCTTGGAAAGGAATTTACATTTCTTTTTTTTTAAACTAAAATTTGAATTCTAATTTGAGGGAGCAGGTGGATAAATCTATCGGAGCTGTAGCGTACATAAATTGTTTTTCTTCAAAACATTTTTTCGTTTCTATCTATCATGATATTTGCTCCAACATAGGTGCTTCAATGATGAGGCTTCAAGCTCCCTGAATAATACATTGTACAAAATTCTGCAAACAAATGTCCATGTACAAACCTTGAATAAGAATATTTTCTTCTACGATGTCCTCTTGAATGTGACCTTGTCCTTGAACGTTCCCTGTATTTTGCTCTGTCAGAATGGTATGACCTACTTCTTGATCTTGAACCATGTTTGTGATCCCCATGTTCTGATCTAGAGTCTGGAGATCCTGAAGCATCAGACTCATCAGAACCTCTTCTACCCTGAAACAAGATAATATCAATAAACTAAATTGGTTTCCTTACATCATGTACATGGGTAACGATAAAATAAAGTATTGCATATAAATTACATTCACTGAGGTGAAACGTTTTAGTCTGCTAATTTAAGATTACATTCAAAGAAGGTAAAAAAAAAAAAGTCTTTGTAAGGGGAAATGACATCTTGACAACAAAATCTACCATCGCCTAATATATTATTATACTTCATTCAAATTGTCAATAGTGTAACACCTTACTAATGACTAACATTTTTCAGATGTGGGATAATGAGGTTAAATGTGTTAACAATTGTCGTTAGAATTTGTCAGACATTATTACATTGTCATAACTCAAGAACAGTAAAAGTGACACCACCCAATTTCTAACTACAACTGTGACACCACCCAATTTCTAACTAGAAATGTATTATGTGGTAATAAGCATTGTGTATAAGTCTCATAACATTTGGTTGAGGCAAACTAAAGTTAGAGAACGAAAACAAATTAAACTGAGTTTTGTGGTAAAAAGCATTATATATACATTTCATTACATTAATTTAAGACAAACTCAAGTTAGAGAACAGAAACGAAAAATTCAGCAATTTTTTCATTTGTAAATGGGCATAACTCTAGAACAATAATCAAAGTGCTTGAAAGCACTGAATGGTAAAGATTGCTTTAATTTATCAGTAGGAAGTAAATTTGAATATAGCATTGTATAAAGCATTGGTTGTAGTTGATTCAACTACCATTATGCACAAAGAAATATAACTCCAATTTTCATAGAAGACTTTAAAATATTTTTAGAAATGAAGGGTAAAAATTGCTTTAATTTATCAGTGGAATGTAAAATTTAACATTGCATTGTATAAAGCATTGATTGTAGTTGATTCAACTATAATCATGGACAAAGAAAGATAACTCCAATTTTAAAAATACTTGATATTTAGAAAAAAAATGAAAAATTTAGCAATTTTTCCATTTGTACAGGGCATATATATAACTCTAGAACAGTAAAAGTGACGCCACCAAAATTCAAACTTGATCTGTATTTAGTGGTAATAAGAAATGTGTATAGGTTTCATAACATTTGGTTGAGGCTACTTAAGCTAGAGAACAGAAACCAACTTTGGGACGTTTGTATGGACGGACGGACGTACGTACAGACGGACAAGGGAAAAACTTAATGCTCCCTCCGCTACGACAGGGGCATAAAAATAAAACCTGTCAAATATTGGCTCGTAATGAGAAAAATAATCCTATGCAGGGGTAGATTTAAGATCAGAAAGTACCTGGCCCGTAGAAATTATTTTGATAAACTGGCTCCATCAAAATTTCATTGGCCCTAGAGTCAGTGGTCCACGCAGTGGACTGCTCCAAAAGGAGGGCTTTAGATGCAAAATCCTGCATTCTGAGAGCCTCTGATATGAAAATCCATGTAGATAACAGTCAATCTTTTAGCATTATATTTATGTTATCAAATATTTTCAGAATTAAAATTGTGTCAGTTTATTTTTGAAATGTATGTTAATGTAAAAATAAGCAGATGTGGTATGATTGCCAATGAGACAACTCTCAACCAGAGACAAAATGACTCGGAGGTTAACAACAAGAGGTCAATGTACAGCAAACTCTCCAACAGAGACCAAATGACATAGAAGTAAACAACTATTGGTCACTGTACAGCCTTCAGCAATGAGGAAGAAAACTAACTGCCTGATTTATGTGCAAAGCAATAAACAAAAAACAAATATGATATACATTGTACAGCAACAAACCACAACCACTGAATTACAAGCTTCTGACTAGGGACAGGCACATTCAGAATGTGGTGGAAAAACCCTCCTGACAAATCATCCTATGATCCGTATTCTCCAGTCATCTATAAGAAGCTTTCCAAGACGGAATAAATTCTCTCTTCCATTTTTCTGTTTCATACTTTTTTCGTTTCTCCTTTTGATTTTCACAATTAGCTGCGGCGTGACGTTTCTGTGGGTTAAAACAAACAGTAATAAAATGCTTCGCTGGGGCACAGCTTGATACGACCGCAGAGGTCGAACCCTGAACAGTTGGGGCAAGTATGGACACAACATTCAAGCTTGATACAGCTCTGAATTTGGATTGTTATTAAATATTTGACACAGCATAGGTTTCTGACACAGAAAGAATGTGGTCTAAGAACTTGAATTTTTTTAATTTACCTATTATGGTCCAATGTCCAAAATCAAAATACATGGTTAGATTCAGCATATCAAAGAACCCCATATATTCAATTTTTGTTAAAATCAAACAAAGTTTAATTTTGGACCCCAACTTGGACAAACTTGAAAACTGGGCCCATAATCAAAAATCTAAACACATGTTTAGATTCAGCATATCAAAGAACCCCAAGAATTCAATTTTTGCTAAAATCAAACTAAGTTTAATTTTGGACCCTTTGGACCTTAATGTAGACCAATTTAAAAAACGGGACTTAAAATTAAAAATCTAAATACACGGTTAGATTTGGTATATCAAAGAACCCCAATAATTCAATTTTTGATGAAATCAAACAAAGTTTAATTTTGGACCCTTTTGACCTCAATATGAACCAATTTGATAGCGGGGCCCACACATAAAAATTCTAAATTCATGGTTAGATTCAGCATATCAAAGAACCCCATATATTCAATTTTTGTTGAAATCAAAAAAAGTTTAATTTTGGACCCCAACTTGGACCAACTTGAAAACTGGGCCCATAATCAAAAATCTAAACACATGTTTAGATTCAGCATATCAAAGAACCCCAAGAATTCAATTTTTGTTAAAATCAAACTAAGTTTAATTTTGGACCCTTTGGACCTCAATGAAGACCAATTTAAAAAACGGGACCCAAATTAAAAATCTAAAAATACGGTTAGATTTGGCATATCAAAGAACCCCAATAATTCAATTTTCGATGAAATCAAACAAAGTTTAATTTTGAACCCTTTTGACCTCAATATGAACCAATTGGATAGCGGGGCATACAAATAAAAAATCTAAATACATGGTTAGATTCAGCATATCAAAGAACCTCATATATTCAATTTTTGTTGAAATCAAACAAAGTTTAATTTTGGACCCCAATTTGGACCAACTTGAAAACTGGGCCCATAATCAAAAATCTAAATACATGTTTAGATTCAGCATCTCAAAGAACCCCATATATTCAATTTTTGTTGAAATCAAACAAAGTTTAAATACTGGACCCTATCTTGGACCGACTTGAAAACTGGGCCCATAATCAAAAATCTAAACACATGTTTAGATTCAGCAAATCAAAGAACCCCAAGAATTCAATTTTTGTTAAAATCAAACTAAGTTTAATTTTGGACCCTTTGGACCTCAATGTAGACCAATTTAAAAAACAGGACCCAAAATTAAAAACCTAAATACATGGTTAGATTTGGAATATCAAAGAACCCCAATAATTCAATTTTAGATGAAATCAAACAAAGTTTAATTTTGGGCCCTTTTGACCTCAATATGAACCAATTAGATAACGGGGTCCACAAATAAAAAATCTAAATACATGGTTAGATTCAGCATATCAAAGAACCCCATATATTCAATTTTTGTTGAAATCAAACAAAGTTTAATTTTGGACCCCAATTTGGACCAACTTGAAAACTGGGCCAAAAATCAAAAATCTAAATACATGTTTAGATTCAGCATATCAAAGAACCTCATATATTCAATTTTTGCTAAAATCAAACAAAGTTTAATTTTGGACCCTTTGGACATTAATGTAGACCAATTTGAAAACTGGACCCAAAATTAAAAATCTAAATACACTGTTAGATTCGGCATTACAAATAAATAAATGTGATCAAAGATTTTACAAATCTAATGCGCCATACTGTGCAATTAAAGATTACTTCTTGAAATTTTTCAATATTTGAAATTTGAAAAAAAAATAATATTTGAAGAATAATTCTTTTTAATTTCTGAAATCTGAAATGAGAAAAAATTGCCCCCCCCCCAATTTCTTTTTATCCCCCCCCCCCTTTTTCCCCCAAAAAAATTCTTTCCCTCAAGATATGGTCATAATCTCAATTCAAATTTCCAATGGAGTTGGCAACCATAATTACCCATTTAAATTTACCATAGTGCTAACTTAATCTATTTTATAATAGAATTAATAAAAATATAGTGTCAAATCTTTCATATGGATTTTTTTGTAAAAAAAAAAGATGAAAACATTTGCAGATATTTTTACTGGTCTTCCTTTATAAATATGCATTTCTTTAAACATAATTTAAAAGCAGTGTAAGGGAAGTAACCAAAACGTTGTATTTGGATTACCTCCCTTACACTGTTTTAGATTATCTTTATTGTTCATTAACCATTACTTTATACATAATTTAAAAGCAGTGTAAGGGAGATAATTTCAATGATGTATTTGATTTATCTCCCTTACACTGCTTTAAATTATGTTTTGTACTAAAGTATTTGTCCATTAACCAGGACAACCTTGTTTTTCCCCCTTTTTTGCCCCTAATTCCTAAACGGTTTGAGCCATAACCCCCCAAAGCAAATCCTAACCATCCCTTTGTGGTATGGAAACTTGTAGTATAATTTCAGAGAGATCCAAACACCGTTCCACAGTTATTGTCTGGAAACTAGAAAATGCTCATTTTTGGCCCCTAATTCCTTAACTGTTGGTACCATAACCCCCAAAATCAATCCCAACCTTCCTTTTGTGGTATTTAACCTTATGGTCAAATTTCAAAAAGATCCATTCACTTAAAGTTAGAGTGCGAAAACCAATATGTATTCGGACGACGACGCCGGACGACGACGACGTCGCCAACGTCATACCAATATACGACCACAAAATTTTTTTGCGGTCGTATAAAAATATTTGCTGGTCATAGTGTCTGACACAAAGTCATCATTTGCTGGACCCTCTAAATCCGACGATTAGCCTCATCACTGCAAGTCACATGTAATACAATGCTTCGCTGGGGCGCAGCTTGATACGACCGCAGAAGTCAAACCCTGAACAGTTGGGGCAAGTATGGACACAACATTCAAGCTTGATACAGCACTGAATTTGGATTGTAATTAAATATTTGACACAGCATAGGTTTCTGACACAGAACGAAAGTGGTCTAAGAACTTACAAATTTTTAATTTACCTATTCAAACCATATCATTATTATTTGCTTTTATATATAAATCAGAAATAACCAATTTAAAATGGAAAATTTTAAATAAAAAAAAAGGAAAAAAAATCCCCCCCCCCCAAATTTTTTGAACCTCCTTATGATTCATCACCCCCAAACTCAATCCCAGACTTCCCTTTGTGGTATGGTATCTTGCGGTACAATTTCAGAGAGATCCATACACTTGAACACAAGTTATTGTCTGGAAACTAGAAAAATGCTTGTTTTTTGGCCCCAAATTCCTAAACGTTGAGGGCAATTACCCCCAAACTCAAACCAAGCTTTCCCTTTGTGATATGGAACCTTGCAGTACAATTTCATAAAGATCCATACACTTACACACAAGTTATTGTCCTGAAACTAGAAGAATGTTTGTTTTTTGCCCTTTTATGGCCACTAATTCCTAAAAGTTTGAGACAATTACCCCCAAAATCAATCCCAGCCTTCCCTTTGTGGTATGGTACCTTGCAGTACAATTTCAGAGAGATCCATACACTTGAACACAAGTTATTGTCTGGAAACTAGAAAAATGCTTATTTTTGGCCCCTTATTCCTCAACTTTTTGGGCAATTACCCCCAAACTCAAACCCAGCTTTCCCTTTGTGATATGGAACCTTGTTGTACAATTTCATAAAGATCCATACACTTACACACAAGTTATTGTCATGAAACTAGAAAAATGCTTGTTTTTTGCCCCTTTTTGGCCCCGAATTCCTAAAATGAGGAGGCAATTACCCCCAAAATCAATCCCAGGATTCCCTTTGTGATATGGAACCTTGTGATACAATGTCAGAGAGATCCATACACTTACACACAAGTTATGTCTGGAAACTAGAAAAATGCTTGTTTTTTGGCCCCAAATTCCTAAACGTTGAGGGCAATTACCCCCAAACTCAAACCAAGCTTTCCCTTTGTGATATGGAACCTTGCAGTACAATTTCATAAAGATCCATACACTTACACATAAGTTATTGTCCTGAAACTAGAAAAATGTTTGTTTTTTGCCCTTTTATGGCCACTAATTCCTAAAAGTTTGAGACAATTACCCCCAAAATCAATCCCAGCCTTCCCTTTGTGGTATGGTACCTTGCAGTACAATTTCAGAGAGATCCATACACTTGAACACAAGTTATTGTCTGGAAACTAGAAAAATGCTTATTTTTGGCCCCTTATTCCTCAACTTTTTGGGCAATTACCCCCAAACTCAAACCCAGCTTTCCCTTTGTGATATGGAACCTTGTTGTACAATTTCATAAAGATCCATACACTTACACACAAGTTATTGTCATGAAACTAGAAAAATGCTTGTTTTTTGCCCCTTTTTGGCCCCGAATTCCTAAAATGAGGAGGCAATTACCCCCAAAATCAATCCCAGGATTCTCTTTGTGATATGGAACCTTGTGATACAATGTCAGAGAGATCCATACACTTACACACAAGTTATTGTCATGAAACTAGAAAAATGCTTGTTTTTTGCCCCTTTTTGGCCCCTTATTCCTAAAATTTGGAGGCAATTACCCCCAAAATCAATCCCAGCATTCCCTTTGTGATATGGAACCTTGTGGTACAATGTCAGAGAGATCCATACACTTACACACAAGTTATGTCTGGAAGTTACAAAAATGCTTAATTTTTGGCCCCTAATTCCTTAACTGTTGGTACCATAACCCCCAAAATCAATCCCCACCTTCCTTTTGTGGTATTGAACCTTATGGTAAAATTTCATAGAGATCCATTCACTTAAACTAAAGTTAGAGTGCGAAAACTAATGTGTCTTCGGACGACTACGACGACGCCAACGTCATACCAATATACGACCACAAAAATTTTTTTGCGTTCGTATAAAAATTGGAATAATTGTTGTAGGGAGAATAAAAAAAATAGTAAGTCACAATTTCTTTTCAGTGGTATACTACTGTTGCCTTTATTTGTATTATAATCCAAAGGGTCCTCCTGATTGCAGTTTTCAAGCCCTGAGGGATATCCGGCTAAAGATCACTAATCACTTGTACAGGTTGATCGACACACCTGACAGGAGAACTCTCGATCAAGATAGACGATTGATTGCATTATTTAATTATGTTTCAGCAAATGCTAATGAAAATTTAGATTAAAACAATAATGTTTAATCCAGTATAAACAAAGTTTTTCAAGTTGAACACGTGCTTAAATATTGACTTACACAATCAGCATCCCACTTTTTAAACGAGTACAAAATAAGACCTAAAACTGAGCATAATTTAATTTCATGCCAAATAATACGAGTACAGCAATAATCAATAATATTTAATCACTTTACAAATTTAAAAGTAAATACATGAATATTAACTGCAACTTGATAATCTGAAGAAATTTTGTATTGTAATTCCGAATTCATTTCGTAGTTTACAATCAAATTGATTCATCCGGTCTTCTGGTTTTCATTCAGAATCGAAATGAATAAATGAGATAAATGTTGAACAGGGCTCACACTACTTCAGATTCATAGGGAGAAGTGACTTCTCTGTTTGAAATTGAGAGGGAGAAGTGGTGAGATTTGAAAGAGAAGTGCTCGATTGCTTGCGGCGCTACAATGTTTGGTTTTTACTTTAATGCAATGCAAAGAGCCATATGTATCTTATTTTATTTATATTGTTCAATTTGTACCTGGGTATACAATTAAAGTAACAGTTCAAATTCAAAGTTGTTGAATTTTATCATATCTAGTTGCACAATCATATTAGTCCTCTTGTCAGAAAAAAACAATTAAATATCTGGCAATAATAAAAAAGATTTTTTTTTATATCAAAAAGGAAAAGAAAGTTGTTATATCAATTAAAATTCAATTAAAAACTACTCTGTTATCATGTTTATGAAATTAAGTATTTCTCATTTAAAAGATATTTAAATTTAACTGTTTTATTTAAAACAGTTAAGCTTAGACATAATATAATTATATTAGTGTAATAGTCCTAGAGTTAAGCAACTTTAATTTATAAATTGAAACAATGCATATACATGGAAATATATACATTAATCAAATAGATCTAACCAAAAGTATGTTAATACTTGTGGAATGTGTAATTTTTCCTTTTGAGATCAATTTTCTTCTGTCAGCTGTGCCATACATGCGTCCGTAGTCATTATCGCAAGAATCCGGATTTCGGTCAAAGCTGGTCCATTTCCGAAGAATCCTGACTCCGATCCGTAGTTGTACAATAATTTGCCCAAAAATTTTAATGGTGGATGAAGAAAATATGACGTTTTTAATGCAATATAAGGATAACAAATTTACTTCAGGCAAATTTTATCACGTTCTAATGAAGTAACAAGCTTATTTTGCCAAAAGTTAGAATGATTTGATGTACGCTCTCGATCAACAAGTACCGGAAGTGATAAAAAAAATTGTCTTTATGAAAATAACATGCAACCAACTTAAAAATCAATGCTTTAACCTCTTTTCTAAAGAAAAAAAATCGTTTATGTCTTTGAATTTCTTTACTTTCAAATGAAAAGTTGCTGTTTCATCGACTTGGTATATGTTGAATATTGCCGATGACGAAAGCGACTGAAAGCGAGTATCGTGAACAACAGGGCGACCAGATTTCGCTTTTGACGGTCGGGCAAAGCGAAGTGACAGATGGGAAAGCGACTTTGTCGCCCCAGCAGGGGTTAAAAAATCCACTAGCCCGACGCCCAGGACTACAGCATTTTGGGCTCAGGCAATCAAAATTTGTAACCCAATACGCCCGACGGACTAGTACCAAAAAATTCTTGGCGTTTCCAAAATAGAAAGTGGAAAATCCCCTCATTACTATTCTATCTTAGCCAATCAGATTCAATTACGGCATCCAGGATTCCAAGAATTTGAACTGATTTGTACATGTTTTAAAAATAGAACAAATAACTCTGGGTGGACCCGTATCATGTATTGATCGCCATTCCCGTACTTTCAAAATATATCAATTTGTCAGTACAAGGGGTATTGTCATTGCTTATGCAACCAGAGAAATATAATTTAAACTGAATGTACCTCCTTTTGAATAATTTATTGCACTAAACATATAAATCCCTTTTGACAAGAGAAACCTGACTTTTGTCAGATATAAATTTGTAACATGTGCATGACCACATGTTATGGACGCCATTTTGATTTGTTTACATACTGTGAAGAAGCCTCTAGAACCATGACCTAAACATTTAAAGTCTTCAGAAAACTTGAACTTGATGCAATAATATTTTATCAGTCATGACAATCTTCATTAATATTCAAATAAATTTTATTATTTAAAGAAATAAAATATATTATAACAAATAAGATTTCAGTTTAGAGATTGTACACAGAGCATGCTGTAATCTATTTATAGCCCAATTAGCTTACCTGTGATAAATGTAAATATGGATATCATTTTGATAATAAAACAAATATCAAAGACACAAACTATGGATGGTAGATACTGATTCACATAAAATTATAAATATTTCAGGACATTTGATTTATTTAAATAGATATAGAATTTAAAAACTGAAAACAAATATAAGCAGCTGATAATTTTTTTACACAAACGTGATGATGTACAAAAAATGTATCTGATAGAAATCACTCCAACCCTTTTTTATATACATATATAGCAGTGGTCAAGGCTTGTTACATTTCAGGATTAGGTCAACTCATTATTGCAGAATATTGAATATACATTTATCGTCTTTGAATATTGAATATATATATCGGGTAATGGGATATTTTTTGCTGACATAAATTTTTGACCAAACTCTGAATTTTTAAGGCATACTCGGGCTAGCAGGTCAGTTTTGATGGGCTAGCAGTTCTTCCAACAGGGCTAGTAAAATCCTGCTACCAATAAGTCCTGGGCTAGTGAGCTGTAACAAAATTTTTTAACCCCTGCCCAGTTGCCTGCTAGCGTGAGCCCTGTTGCATAGTATATTACTATGAAATTAGCTATCTAAAGTCATTACAACTTTTTAAGTTGTAAACGTTTGCCCTCCAAATCTTTACTTCAGCGTTTTACAAAACAAGTAGGAATCTTCTTGTAGTTGATGCTGCAAATCATCAATACCGGTTCGTGACTTCTGAATTTGACAGTGAAAAAAATATCAAACCGATTTTTGAGCCCTATACAATTACCAAAATAGCAAGAAAACGAAGTGGGAACCCTACGGACAGCTTGTGGTCATTCTTGACTAAAGGGGAGCAATGCAGGCTTGGGATTTGGAATTGTTTCAAATGACAATTAATCAAAATATTTGTTATTCTATAATGAAATAAAAATAATAAGCAATATATCATTATCAGCCTGTTCACCATTCCCTACATGGAAATGAAGGAATGAAATATTTTCGATCACGCCACGCCGTAGACGCGGGGTTTTGTCATGGTGAAAGTTCCTCCATCGGCATCGATAAATTTTCATCCATGGAGATCCCTGATCATGGCATTTAATCATTGAGTCCATGATTCCCTGTCATATTCAAATTGTACCATACCAGAGTTGCAGACATGTAATTTTAATTGAACATTGAATCAGAAAAAAAATGTGGATAGTGTCCACATGTGGACACAGATGATGCCCCCGCTTGCATATCATATAGTTATAAAGGGACATAACTGAAGAACGGTAAAAGTGACACTACCCAAATTTGAACTTGATCTGAGTTTTGTGGTAATATAATAAGCATTAAAGCCACTATGTGTAAGTCTCATAACATTTGGTTGAGGCTAACTTAAGAAGAGAACAGAAACTTAAAATTCAGCAATTTTTCTATTTGTAAACACGCATAACTCTAGAACGGTTGTGTATAATAAATTATTTAGTTCCCTGTAATTTTGGCGCGTTTGTCTCCGATCAAATCGACTCAACCTAACAAAAGTATAAGGGCTAGGTTATGTCTTATGATCATGGTTAGTTAAAGGCATATATAATTATGTTTGAACTCATAATTTCTGGAATGTGTAATAATCTTAACCTCTAATACCTCGTGATCTGAACTCATTATTCGTAATAACAATCGATTCAGAAGTGGTTTCGTTTTCAGAACAAATCAAAATGTGCGTAAAATGGCTGAAATTAGACGCCAAGGGAATTCTGGGAAAATTTACCAAAAAGGCAAACCAATGTCGGAAACAATCCGATTTAGAGGCACGTATTTAATCAAAGTACTGTCGTACTGTTTTCTCGAACCCTTTAAATCAAATCAAATAATTTTATTGGTGTAAATTCCAATACAGGAATGATACCAGCTGACATTTACAAAATACAAATACAAAAACAGACAAAAATAAAAAAAAACAAAAAAAAACAAATATACAGAGATATGTTTTCTCAATGATAAGAGACACATATTTTATATCTACATTGCGTGGAGGTGTTATTCATACTATATTATCACTTCAAGTTATTACAATAAGCTTTAATATGAGGAAGGCGCTACCTTGAATGCCAGCTTACCAAAACTATGTCCTACATATTGATTGATTGTTGGTTTGCTTAACGCCCAGTGGCAAATATTTCATGCATGTTCAGGACGAATGTCCTACATATAGTTTTTGTCTAAAATAAAATAATAAGTTTAGATGGAAAATGTTTAGGGAAAGATCATTGAACTTCAAAAGTCAGAAGGAGGTATGGTATTTTTTTTTGGTGTGTCGCAGGAAGCATCAAAGCAAAAATTTAAAATAGCCTTCCTGGACGTCATAATTATTTGGACTAGTATTTTTCTTTAAAAATTGATGACAAAAATACTCTGTTCAAGCAGAGGACAAAAAAAAATATTCTGAATCCAGATTTTCCCCATACCTTCTAGTGTTTATATTTTGACTAAATAATTTTGATTGATAGCATTGAAGTGCTTAACGTGTAAAAAATCTGACTCAAACAAAAAACCATACCCCCCTTTGAAGCTAAATGGTTGCTCCCTTATTGTTTTCTGCTGAAAATGAATTTATTGGTGATTTATATAAATGACAATGCTTACATTCATTATCTTGTGCATTTTCATATCCATTTTTCTTTCTTTGCAAATTTTATAAAATTTAAAACAATAAGACATTTGTTTAATTTCAAAACTATGAATACTGTACAGTTATACAATCCATAACTTTATTAAATTAATTTTTTGTTGATTTTCATGAAAAGGTGGAGGATTTGGAATATCTTTTTCATCAATATCTAAAAGTTGTAGCGTTTTTTTTTATTTAGTATTGCAAACAACGCTTTCTGTTTGTTGAATTATTTTTACTTTCTAAATTAGCTGGTTGTTCATATTGTATTCCCAGTTTCCTGCATCTCATATAAGAGGATCATTCTGATTGTTAAAAGAAGAGTTTGAATTTACAGTGAGCCTGCTTAGAATGATGTTTTGATCAGGTTTTTTATTTTCATCTAAGCATATAAGGAACCATAAATAGGATTGTTAAGTTGATAATCTAAAGATTCATCTATTTTCTAGGATGCTATTTAAAATTTGAGGGGAGAACACTGCTCAGCAGTATAAATGTATTCCTGATCATCTTCTTTTTGTGGGTTTCTACATCAATTTCATGTACTAATTCAGAGTCGGTTTTATGTCATTTCTTGCATAATTTGTTTTATTAGCTTACTTTTCAAGTTTTTATACAACGGCAATATAAAATTGAGAATCGAAATGGGGAATATGTCAAAAATTTGCTTTCGAGTAATGCTATCATGTCGCTGTTGCTGTCCGAAGACACATTTGGTTTCCGGACAATAACTTTAGTTTAAGTAAATGGATCTCTATGACAATGTATGAAATTGTAACAGAAGGTTCAATACACAAAAGGAATGTTAGAATTGATTTTGGGGGTTATGGTACCAACAGTTTAGGAGTCAGTGGTCAAAAACAACATTTTTGGGTTGTTTTTTTTCCATAATTTTTGGGTTTTTTCTACAAAAATTTACCATTTTTACATTGATTATTTCTCATTTATATATAAATGCAACAAATACTGATATGGGAGGTGATACACACGAAACAGTGTGTGTAATTCATTTTATCGGTAATTTGTGTATTTTTCCTTTGATGTGTATACTCCTTGTCCTTGATAATGTTGACGTCATTATCAGTGGACTGTTCATGATAAAGAAAATATACTGGGTTAGTTCGCAATTGACATGCACAAGTGCACTGCAAAAGGATCTTCTTTCCCTTTAATTCACAAAATTGCACATGATTTTTTTCACAGAAACGCACACGTTATTTCATGAATGAAACACTTGTCATTGTTTGAAACTTTCACAGTAATCAGCTGGTAATAAAACGTTAGTTTAGCCTTTTTGAACGATTCACTGATTGTGTGAAAATTTGAACAGAAAATGTACAATAAACCTGATAAAATTGCGGAATTATTGATAGCTTTCCTTACTATTCACAAGGACATATCACTAACATATCGTCCATGCTATTCCGATTTGAGTTTTAATTCCTACATAGTTTGGCATGGCTGGTGCTGTTCCAAGTTGTCTTCTTTTGCTGCATGTTTCTTGAGAAGTATTTGTTTGACCTGGTCAGTCACTATAAAGTGTTACAATTCATATTAAGACGCAACACATAAATAGTGACCAAAAAGGTACCGCTTTCACATGCATGACATGAGAGAATCTAGAAAAAAAATTAAATGTACACATTTTCAACATTTTTGTGGGACTATCATATAAAATTAAGGAGATATGTAGCTGGATACTGCTGCTGAATAGAAATGTTTGGGCTCACCTGATACCTGTTTTCAAATCAGTCCATATTAAAGTTTGAAGGGTCCAAAATTAAAATATGTGTGATTTCAACTGACATAAAATTTTTGGTGTTTTTTATATGCTAAATCTACATCTGTGGTTGTATCAGGCTGTGCTTGGCGAAGCATTTTATTGCTGTTTTGTTTGTACTTTATTTTATTTTGGTCATGAAAATTAACTTGTAGTTGTGAAGTTGCTAACATTTTTAAAAGATGATAATTAGATAACTTCGCATGGTGACGACACTGATGTTTTCGTAGATTTACTTTTTCCCAGGAATGCTTCATCTGTTGATACATGTATATTCTCACTGTGAACGATTTGTGTCTCAAAAAAAACTTGTAAGATTTCTGCAGTTATTTTTGTTGAATACATACATACACATAGGGTGAAAATTGGGTACTTGGTGCAATTTGGGTACTGTGACGTTATAGCCATAATTGTTTATTGCTATAATAGGTTGAAATGTGCACCTGATAAAAGTATTCGGTAAAGTGAAAATGTTTTGATCAGGTTTAAACTGACGCATAAAATATACTGGTGACTGCTGGAGGCAAATATTTATATTGCCTCCAAATAATGTGTCTGCAGCTTGAATTTCAAAAGATGTATGTAGCCCACATACTTCCAAGTAACATGCTCTATACCTATCAAAAGTCATGGTATTATCATGGGTTATCATAACTCCATTGTAATTCCCATAAAATCCAATTTTGGACAATATGGGAGCATACAATATATACCTTAATGTATCACTCAGACTCAAGTCTCCTTTTACTATGATTAAACTTAGAGAGTGAAAAAAAAACAGTCTCCATCTCCTGGGACTGTTTAAGGTAGATATGTGTCATAATTAATGACAAGATTTGTTGAGAGTTTGTCAAAGGAAGTACAGTGACAGTCTCCAAATTAGAAGATTGTGAATTTAAATATATATATTTTTTTTTAAACTTTTGTTAAGTTTTGAATTACACCTGCATTTGTCTGTTAGCTAGGAATAACAGTGACCACATTCCACAGTATAACCAACTTCATTATCACTGAAACTTGATATGGGAAATTCTGTAGCAGATTTTACTACCTTCACCAGGTCAGGAATAACCACCAATTGATGGATTATACCTCAATTGACGTATAATCCACCAATTGACATATATTGGTATAGACCAATTGGCGTATAATGCAATTTTTTTGTTATAAAATGCTAGTGTGAGATAGGAGCATCATTTTGCAACTTACAACCTATTTTATGACCATTATTGAGTCCTCTGAAAGTTTCAGTTTTGTCAAAGCCTGCTGCATCTCTTGAGAATGCATGTGTACAACAATTCTTTTGTTGAAACATCTGTACTATTGACCAAGAATTGACAAGATAACAATAGAAGAAACTGCAAATACAATTATTGATTAAATGCAATATGTTATGTCACTATACTAAACTAGGAATGTTTGACATGTTTTCATACAGTTATATGGTTTTAAGAAAACAATGCTCCATTTTGGTTGAATAATTTGCTTTAAAAAAAAATTATACATCAATTGGTCTATACCATTACATGTCAATTGGTAGATTGTACGTCAATTGAGGTATAATCCACCAATTGGTGGTTATTCCTGACCTGTTCTGTGTTCACCTCCGCCGCCGGCTACGTTTCTCACAAAATTTATTGCTTGCACTGCAGAGGGTTTTTCTGTGTTCCCATGGCTGGACGGAACTTTTACACTCAAATGTTATCATTAATTATGATATTGTGACTTTTAAATGAAGTACCTGTGGTAATTTAGGAGATTTGTCACTGATAATGGAAAGATGAAGCAGACGACGAAACATGGCGTAGGATGTTGTTGTCCAAACTTCGGTTATTTCCGTGGTACAACAAAATTTAAATAAACTGCACAAGTTTCTAAAATTTCTAAATTCTTGTTTTTGTAAACAAATAAGAATTCATGTCACATTTAACATCGAATTTATTCCGTTTTGTCCCGTTTTTTCAAAATCGCGATTAAACGAGAATCTGGCAGCCATTAAAATATAAGGGTTAAACTAATGTCCTGAAATTATCCTTACGGATATTCCAATGCTAATTTCGTTTTCATTATTTGAAGAATTGACCTTATATTTGGAGCCAAGCAAGAATACAATGTTTATTTATTAAATATAATGAAAGTAAAGAAAAAAATTATTTTTAAGAGTTAGATACCTTGACTTGATCTACTTCGAAAATTAAAAAAAAAAAATCGTACGAGATTTAACGAGAGTGACGAAACTTTTTAGATTGCTCATGTAGAGAGAGTTATCGTTCTTTATTCCAATTCGATGCTTCTACCATAAGTGCCA